GTTTTGTCTGTCTTTGCACAGTGGGAAAAATCTATTGCAGCTCAAAAGCAGCCATGTCTTTTTAGAGAGTAGGGCTTATGCTCTCCAATTTGTCATGGTCCCACCTAGAGTGATTCACTCATTGCAGTCATCTGTTGGCTCCTGGAGGCATTTGAGTTTGCAACCACTGGTGTAAAACCAGAAGGAACCTTCAGGAGCATCTGATCCAATGCCACTCATTTTCTAGATGAGGAAATAAGGAGATCCATAGCAGTTTGTGAAAACTAGTGTTTCATTTTCCAGTACTAGACAGGACCATGGAATGAGGATCTGAGAATATTTATTGAGCACCTACTTGTTCTTATGGTATGTCATTTTTATATCTGTATTTCTGTGAAGTAAGTTGTATGCTCATTCTAAACATGAAAAATATCTCCCCCTGATTTTTTATTTACTGACGGAAAAGGGGTAGAGTCAGTTTCTTAGCCTTTCTTTTTTCTTTAATCACACTGCATTGTTTGTTTGTTTTGTTTTTCCTTCTTTGTTTACTTGTTCTATAGTGCCCAGCACATAAAAGGTCCTCAACAAGTTTGAGGAGCACACTAGGCCTCAGCTACTATGGATTGCCTTATGAGGACACACAGGAAATAGATGAAGTTGCATCATGTGATCCTTAGGTTTCCTTCAAGTTCTACACTTGTGGTTGCAACCTTGAATGCCTGCAGGGACCAGTAATTTTTCCTTAGATGACAGGATATGAGCCAGTATTTGAATCCAGATCCTTCTGAACCAATTAAGCCTCATGTTCTACAATCTCAAATCACTTAAAAATTCCTTTTGCTCCTTGCTTTTATCAGAACTTCTAACTAGCAACAAGTAACTATTACAGAATAAGTAAATGGTGACAAAACACTAACTTTGATCAAAGAAAGTATAAGTGCTAACAGTCTGATGATTTTACCCCTTATCACTAAATAAAATATTAGACTCACTTTCTCTGGAGGCCATACATTTTCCATTAGGGAAAAATTAGAACTTTGGAAAATTAGTAAACTTAAGATTATTACAAAGGAATAAGAGCCCAAAGAAATTCTTGGATGCCCTGTGTATTCGTCTCGTTCTCAGGAAAGCATTTGCTCAGATAAAATTAAATGTGCAAGGATTTTATTAGGGGAAAATGTTTATATGTAAAGGAAAATACAAAGCTAGAACCATTTGACCTTGATGCAAGTCTGACCCCGTGAAGGAAAGAGGAAGAGAGAACAGGGTGAAATGTCCAGGAAGTCCACCTTGAAGTGTAAGGTTCAGCAAAACCCTTTGGGATAAGGTCTTTTTTTTTTTTTTTTTTTTTAAAAAATATTTATTTATTTATTTATTTTAGTTCTCGGCAGACACAACATCTTTGTTTGTATGTGGTGCTGAGGATCGAACCCGGGCCGCACGCATGCCAGGCGAGTGTGCTACCGCTTGAGCCACATCCCCAGCCCCTGGGATAAGGTCTTGGTCCACTCACAAGTCTTTTTGTCAGCTAACCAAGGAGTCCCATCTCCCCTGAAATGGGTTTGCATGCTTATCTCTGCTAACCTCAGTTGGAGGCAGGAACCAGCCCTTGGGAGCTGTGGCCTTGGCCTGGGTGCAAATTCAGGAAATTCACTTCTAAGCAGCATTTGGACCCCTGCTTGGATAACACTCAGTAACCTGAGAGATGCATTCTCATGTCCAGCACACTGGCAGTACAAAAGTGCAGTGCATTCTGCCTGGCCTGTTTACAGATTTGACATACTCCATGTACTTGATCTAGAGTTCCAAAGCAAATTTCCTGTGTTCCCCCACTGTTTGTAGCTACCCTTCACTCCAGGTGTCCAACTATAAATGCAAGATGACTTATGGAAACTGACTGATTGATTCACCTTATTCAGACCCAGCCCTCCTGAATGTACCTAAGAAACCAAGAATATTGGGTCAGAGAGGCAAATGACTGGAAATATTCTGATATGGGAAGGATAATGTTACCATTACATAAAGACCATTATGTGCAAGGACTGTAACCTTGAAGAAAACAGAAGCCTGAACTAATTCCAACTTCAGTATGTTGTCTTTCTTGGTAACAGCTTCTCCATCTTTTTCTAAGAAATTGGGCTTTTCCACCCTCCCCTATACTGGGGATTGAGCCCAGGAGTACTATACCACTGAGCTACATTCCTGGCCCTTTTTATTTTTAGGCAGGATCTCGATAAGTTGTTGAGGTTGACTTTGAACTTGCAATCCATCTACCTCAGCCTCTAGAGTAACTGAGATCAAAAGCTGTGCCACTGTGCCAGTAATGTTGTAGGGGACAGATGAAGCAGGACCCCGGATAGGAAATAGGAAACTGGTTTATTTGGCTGCAGAAAGGTTCAGAGGGCAAAGCTTTCTGCTGTAATCAATCAATCCCCCTGAACCCCAAGTTCAGGCAGTTTCAGAACTTTATACCCATCTTGGAAGGGGAGGGGCTCAGAAGTTCAGTCTGCAGAAGTTCACACAAAAGCAGCTTTTTCTTTCAATGTTCTGGGCAAGTTAACCCTTCAAGGACAGTGCCTGTGAAGGGGAGAGCTTCTTCTCCCCTTTCTTCCCTCTCCCTGCCAGCTGTTACCATGGAGCCCAATTAGTAACATCTTCTCTAATCTTCGAAATGTAAACATCTCTGTTTAGCTCCAGCCCAAGGCCAGAGGCCTTCTTAAAATAATCTTTTTCTTATCACACTCTGCATTTGCAGACACACTTCCCTTGAAAACCTTTACAGATTGTTATATATGTATACATATATATATGTGTGTGTGTGTGTGTGTGTGTATTTATATTTTTTTTACTAGATATCCATAAATGTTTGTGAAAAACTAGTAAAGAGGTGTTCAGCACCCGGAGTGTTGATCTCTTTCAGGCCCGTGGCCAAATTTAATTATTGTAAGAGCAAGAGGAAATAGGAAGCTTAACTACATTGAACTCTTTTGTAGAGATTCTTTTGCTCATAGTCCTTTAATCAATTATGGTGAAGATTTCTGGAGAAGCTTAATTAAGATTTTCTGTGGGGGAGAGGGTGCCACTACAGTAATAGTGGGCATATACCTAAACAAAGCCTCTTTTACCTGTAATCCCAGAAATTTAGGAGGCTGAGGCAGGAGGATATCAAGTTCAAGGCCAGCCTCAGCAACTTAGCAAGGCCTTAAGCAACTCTTGTGAGGCCCTGTCTCAAAATAAAAAACAAAAAGGACCCAGGATGTGGCTCAGTGGTTAAGCACCCCTGAGTTCAATCCCTGGTACAAAAAAATATAGATAGATAGAGATAAAAATAAATACGTAAATAAAATAAATATCATATATACATAAATATATGTGAAATATATAATATCAATATATAATAGTATATAATTAACAAATATATATTTTTATATATTTATTTATATATATAAATATATTTTTATATATTATAAAAATACATATATATTGGGCTGGGGCTATAGCCTCACATGTGTGAGGCACTGGGTTCGATCCTCAGCACCACGTAAAAAATAAATAAAGATACTGTTGTCCATCTACAACTAATAAAAAATTTAAAATATATATATATATACACACACACATGAATATACACAAAACAAAATTTTAAAAATCCCTCTTTAAGTTCTCATATTTGGAAATGTCCTTAATTTAGCAGTAAGAAACTAGGGCAAGGTCATTAAAGGTTATTTTTGCATCCAGAAAACAAGGAATTATTTTTCTTTTAAAGTGTACATATTTTTAAGTCACATGTCCAGAAACAAAAGATTTGAAAAACCTCCTCCCCCTCCGACTCCCCCTCCAAGCCAACCAGTTCCTCTTCACAAAGAAACCAATGTTATCACAATTACATTTTATATATATTCAAGCATACGAATATTTTCCTGCCTTTTTAATGCAAATAATAGATACACTGTTCATAGGTTATTATTAAATTGCATAAATGTACCACGCTTAATTGAATCAGTCCCCTTGTTTTCAATTCACTCTACAAACTGCTGCAGTGTACAGCACTGCACATACATAATTTTTCATATGCACATGAAGGATACATTTACTTAAAAACCAAGGTATATTTACATTCATAATTCCAGAATATCCTCAACAGAATTTATACCAATCCTGCACTCTCATCCACAAAATGCAAATGTCAGGGAGCGTTTTAGATCAGGAAGGTATAATATGGAAGATGGAAATGTTATGTAAAATTAGAATGCTGTCCACTTGGCTATGATTTTATTATCTTTAAGAATCAAAAGTCCACACAGAGGAAAACCGTGTAAGCAAACATACTTAGTTTGGACATTCACATAAGCTGGGCCAAGAAACATCTTTCCCTTCTTAGCCATAAGAGAAGTGCACAGAAATCTACCAGAAGCAAAATTTCTGAACAACGTTCAGCATCAATGACATCGCAAAAGTCAGAAGAGCACAGTGGAGATAAGGACTACTGGGGCCTCTTTAGGAAGATCGTTTGCAATTTTCCCTCACTAGTGGCCACAAGTCCCTTCCACTTATTGTCTTGGAGTGAAAGAATTAAAATAACCCAAGTGGTGATGATTGGCCCCTTATGATGCAGAGAATTCTGAGATCTGTGGAACGCAGCCCTTAGAAGGCTCTCACCGCAGCGGTGGGCTGTACAAAAAGGCCATCGTGTACCATAGCCTCGAAGAAATTTGAAGCCTCTGCGGGTTTTCTCTGTGGGAGTGGATTCCTAAATATCTCGCAGGTAAATTCTACTCCCTGCAATTAGATGCTCAGCTCTGAAAGCCTTGGAATCATCCGTGTCGGCCAACCACGGAGCTGCAAAGCTGCGCGACCCCCTCCCTGGCCCACCTTTTCTTTTTGGCCTCCTCCTGAAGTATGGAAAGTCGCGCACCAGGGTACAGGCCAGTCATGTGATGCCGCCTCCTCACATGATGCGGGCGGGGCGGGCCTCGTGCTGCATTACGTCATCACGTCGCGCGGCCGCAGAGACTAGAGCCGGGACGACCGCGGCTACCGCTCCAGAGCCTCCGGGTCGGGGCGGCGGCGGCGGCGCTCCGGCTCCCGCTGAGCCGCCTGCTGGCCCCGCGCCCCACCCCCTCCCCACGGGCTGGGGACGGGCCCCGCGCAGCTGGGTGGGCCCGGGAGCGGAGGTGAGTGGCGCGGACGTGGTGGCATTCCGCCTTTCTACCCCTCAACTCCTGGTTCTGGCCCTTCCCCCATCCTTGGTCGCCCTCCCAGGTGGAATGGGAGGGTCGCCGGGAGAGGAGGGGTGCTGGGGCTCGAGCGGCTTCCCCTCGGTTCCCCAGCGCCGCGCCCCTCCCGCTCCTCCACCTGGCGGTGCCTGGTGGTTATCAAGGGAGGAGACCCTGTTTCTTATCTGCAGTTGATCCTTCCAGAATTTGGAAACCGTCGCCCCTATCTCCGGTGGTGAAACCCCTTTATTCAGATATTAACGCAAGTTCTAGAATAGATCACTTCCGAAAGGTGAGGGCGAAGACTGCTGAGACTGCTCGGCCAGGCAGGAATGCCCAGAGGAAAGACTACTCTGCACTAAGGTTACAATCAGTTTTGACAAACCGTTAAGTCTAGTCACAGGCTGGGCCCTGCGGTAACGCCCCAGAGCACCTTCAGAGACTGCAGACATTTGATCAGACCTTTCTTGCATCCTTAGAGTTAAAACCAAGTTGATTTAAGGAAAACGTATGCTTTTTTGTAAAAGGAATCTTGCTAAGTCGTTGGAGGGAGTATCTGGAGTGCGTATAGAGAAATGCAGCCATAAACAAGTTGATGAGAATTTAGGATATGGTTTTGGCATTCAAAAATTAGGACTGAGTTGTGGACTTTTTAAGACCAGTTTGACTTTTCTTCCTCATTTTAGAAAGTTTTGTGTTTCAAATAAAACTGTCTCAATAACAACTAACCCCATTTCATTCCTCAGAAATATCCCTGAAGGGAAAAAAAAAAAAGTCACACATCTAGTGTGACTAAAGCCCATCCACAATCAAGAAACTACTTATGCTGATTTTCAAATGTGTAATCTGTTAGTTTATTTAATTAATGCATACAAGTGAACTTTGCACAGTCACCCCCTTGATCTTTACAGGGCATATAGGTCCCAGGAACTCAGGGTTGCTGAAGTCCCTTATATAAAATGGCATTGTATTTGCATATAACCTATTCACATCCTCCTGTATTCTTTAAACCATCTTTACATTATTTATAATACAATGCAAATGCTATGTAAATATTCTTTACCTGTATTGTTTAGGGAATAATGAAAAGAAAAAAAATTGTACATGTTCATTGCATATGAAATTTTACTTGTTCAGTGTTTTTTGATTCATGGTTGGTCAAATCCATAGATGTGGAACTAGAGAAAAAAGAGGTAACTTTTACTTGGAATAGTTGGTGGCTAGATCAAGGTGGTGATGTCAGTAATAGGAGTGTTCTCTACTTCTGGATGTTTGGGTCTGAAGAAGCCTTTTCTTGATTCCTTAATTTATAAAGTTAATTGAGTGTATTCAGTTTCCCCATTTATTCAAATATGCTCTTCATTTTTTTTTCTCTTGTAGTGGCAGAATCCAAGGACCCTTTTTGTTTTTTCTCCATATTACTTGATGGGAGGCATTATGGCCCCCAAAGACATAATGACAAATACTCATGCTAAATCCATCCTCAACTCAATGAACTCCCTCAGGAAGAGCAACACCCTCTGTGATGTGACATTAAGAGTAGAGCAGAAAGACTTCCCTGCCCATCGGATTGTGCTGGCTGCCTGTAGTGATTACTTCTGTGCCATGTTCACGAGCGAGGTAAGTGGTATGATGTTGCCGCACAAATGAGACTCAGAATACATAATCTTGTTGATGTCTCTTTTCACTGAATAAAATAGTAGAAGTTTGATATGATAGTGAACTTTTATGGTAGAGTAGTTAAAACAGGCAGTCTCTGGATAAGATGTGTGTTGTTTTCCTCATCTCTGAATTAGGGGTGGGAATGATAGTACTACATAATAACATGAGATTACTGTAAAGATTATTTTAGAAGGTTACATATAAAGTGCTTAGAAGAGTCTCTAGTGTATAGTAAAACACACAAATGCATTGGATTTTACTTAATGTTTTTTAAGTTTGCCTTCCAGATTTCTCCCAAGATTTAAAGGTGAATACCAGGGGAATAGGAAGGAAGGAAGGAAAGAGGAAGAATAGGATTCAGACCTAATCCAATGCCTTCTAACAATATATGATGAAAAATCAGTATCCATTCTACCAGTATAGATTCCAGAATGATTTCAAATGAGGGGAATAAAATCTAGTGAATGACTATGCAGTTGTAAAGAGTATGACTTGGAAAAAAAACTGACTCATTAATTCTAAGAATTAACAAAGGGAATTAGCAATAGGTTGTCTTTGACAAGTTAAGGATAATTATTTTTATGGACCAGCTACTGTGCTCCATGTTTGTTATGCATATCTCACCTTGGGGGTAGTGTTGCCATCTCATTTTACAAATAAAGGAACAAGATTTATTAAATGAGTTGCCCAAAGTCTTGAACTTGTAAGTGGTAGAGGCAGAATTTAAGCCTGTATTTTCTGACTCTAAGGCCCAGTTTTCACCTACTGTGTTAACTCAGCCTCTGAAATACACATTTTATAGTCTACAATCTAATTTTAAAACCGGTATAGTTTATGTTACTGTGAGCCAGTGCTCAGTCACTTGGTTGGTAGGAAAAACAGAAACTTGACAGGTCGTTCCTGCTAATGTAGGCTAATTTAAAATGATCTTATGTAACATAACCTTACATATCCCTGTGCTATACTGTTTTCCACAATATCTCCCATGAGAAGCAGTTGGCAGGTAACTGGGTAAGGAGAATGCAGCTGCTGAGCATGAAATGGGCTGCTAATGATATATTGTGCATCCTGTTTTTTGTCAGCTTGAAAAAATTTGTCTACATTATTTTTTCCCACATTGAGAAATAAGTATGGAGTTTTGTAAAATCATTCTTTTTTTAAAAACTGTTTTTATCAGGCAAAAATGATACGTGGCTTATGTTTACTCTTAAGAGTAATTGATTTAAAGGAAAGTGCCCAGACCTGGAATTCTAGGTTTGTTTTTTTGGCAGTTCTGTATGAACCCTAGCAGTCATCTAACTGCACTGGGTGGATGTGTAAAAGAATGGTTGAACTAGATGGTTCCTTGTTATCTTCCAGCCATAACATGTTTCTCAAATGTGCAAATGAGAGATCACAGGACTGAGACCAGAGGACCTGGGTTTTACCTGTCTCCTTGTCCCTTAGTAATTAAGTTACCAAGCTCAGGTCATATAACTTATTTTTTTTAATTTTTTTAGTTGTTGATGGACCTCTGTTTATTTATTTATATGCAGTGCTGAGAATCTAACCCAGTGCCTCACACATGCTAAGCTCTACCACTGAGCCACAACCCCAGCCCCCATATAATTTCTGTAAACCTTAGATCATTTATCTCTTAAGTAACAACAACATCATGTTTAACCATTGCCGCAGTCTGGCTGGGCACAAATGCCGCAGTCTGGCTGGGCACACAATCACGAGCCACCACACAGCTTGTAGATTCAAACAGCAACTCTTTATTCCCGAACTCATACCAGCCGTCTACAATCACGTTCTGGGGAAATCCAACGTTCTCTGCCCAAATCCACTCCCACTGGGCTTCTGTCTCCCAAAATATACTGTCTGAATCCCGTGAGAACTCAAGGGGAACTCAGGCAGCAGGATACGCCCTATTCCCAGCAGGAATAATCTTAAACCTTAAACCTGGAACCTAAACTGGGAACGCCCTAAACAGGATTATCTTAAAACCGGGAACACCCTAATCTGCCTTGGTCCTTGAGCAAGGTCACCTACATTCAATGTCACTGCAACATGTCAGCAACATGGGGTATGCTGGCAAGGAAATTGTCATACCTACTTGGCTAATGGCTCCCAGCAAACCATCTAACCAGGTGATGTGGGAATTAGATGAAATAATCGTAAACAAGAAGCATGCTGACAGATTGTGGTGCAAAATGTAAATGTGAAATGTTCTGAGCTCTTACATAAATATAATAATTTTCATATTTAAATTGATTGTCTATTGGAAATACAGTTGATTTATTGAAAGACAGAATACACATACTCATATCTTTTTTTTTTTTTTTTTTTTGGCATCAGGGATTAAACCTAGGAATGCTTAACCATTGAGCCAAATCCCCAGCCCTTTTTAAAAAATTGAGACAGGGTCTTGCTAAGTTTCCCAGGCTAGCATAGAACTTGTAGTCCTCCTATCTCAGCCTTCCACTCACTGGGACCACGGGCATGTACCACCACAGCTGGCTATTAGTGATGTTTTTTTGTTTTTTTTTTTTTTTTTTTTTTTTTTTAAATATTTATTTATTTTTTTAGTTCTCGGTGGACACAACATCTTTGTTTGTATGTGGTGCTGAGGATCGAACCCGGGCCGCACGCATGACAGGCGAGCACGCTACCGCTTGAGCCACATCCCCAGCCCCATAGTGATGTTTTTTAATGTCAGGGATTGATTTGTGTTTTTGCTTTGTTAAGAATGCTTTGATTTCTCTATGATTTGATGAAGAAATCAAAGATAATAAAGCCATCTAGTTCATAGTGTAAGTGTACTAGAGTTTTGTGGGTAATATCACTAAAGTTTAGATCTAGTAAAGTTTTCATGAGGTAATCAGCTTTCAGATAGATTATTGCCTGTAAAGTTGAAGATTTTTACTCTAACAATTTTTTGCTGGGCATGATGGCACACGCCTGTATTCCCAACAACTCAGGAGGCTAAAGCAGGAGGATCACAAGTTCAAAGCCAGCCTTAGTAGTTTAGTGAGGCCCTATGTAATTTAGTGAAACCCTCTCTCAAAATAGAGATAAAAGGGCTGGGGAATGTCTCAGTAGTTAAGTACCCCTGGTACTTCAATCTCTGATACCAAAAAACCCCACATTTTTCTGTGATTATCTGGCCTTATCAGTACTCATTATTTCAAGGAACTATTCTAGACCAAATGTACAACCAATTACAAGTTACTCAGTAATCCTAAAATAGAGTCATCCCAATATTTTGTAATTGAATTTTGTATTTGTGTGTGCTAAGGAGCAAAGCTATGGCCTCACACATGCTAGGCAAGGACTCTGCCACAGAGCTAATATCTCAAAGACCCATTTTTTGAAAAAGTATCAAACAATTCAGTTGTATTCAGAATGTTAATAGAAGGCCCCTTGAGGTAATCTGCATGTTCCTTTTCATCATTACCAACTTTAGTCTAAAGGTAGATGACAGAATTTGGTAAATTTGGAAAATGTGGACTTATAGCCCACAGGATCCTCTAGAAGCTTCATATTTTGTATGTTAAAAGCACATGGCTGGGTACAATGATACATGCCTGTAATCCCAGTGGCTCAGGAGGCTGAGGCAGGAGGATCATGAGTTTAAAGCCAGCCTCAGCAAAAGCAATGTGCTAAGCAACTCAGCAAGACCCTGTCTCTAAATAAAATATTAAAAAGGGCTGGGAAATGGCCCAGTGGTTGAGTGCCCCTGAGTTCAATTCCCATTACCAAAAAAAAAAAAAAGCTCATGGACACTAGTGGTATATTCATACTGCATTTGTTCTATTCTTTAAAATATCTATTTTTGTTTTAATATGGAGTTGGGATTTTAAATTATTCACTCGTAAAATTGGTATTCTACCTCTCTATACTCCTAGGGTTACAGATAACTGCCTTCTCCATTTGAAAAGCTCCAAATTTATGCCCTATTTCCTTTATACAAATCTAATAAATAGATCATCATTTTAAAAAAGATGTTTATATGATTGATATTATTAACATCCTTTTTATCTGTGGGGATTTGAGATTTTACCTTTATGTTGTAGAAGTATTCTTAGAAAATATTCTTAGATAGAAAGTAGTCTTTCTTATCCTGTGAATTTTCAGCTTTCAGAGAAGGGGAAACCATATGTTGATATCCAAGGTTTAACTGCTTCTACCATGGAAATTCTGTTGGACTTTGTATACACAGAAACAGTCCACGTGACAGTAGAGAATGTACAAGAACTGCTCCCTGCAGCCTGTTTGCTTCAGCTGAAAGGTACAGACATTGAAAGTTGGTTTTGTTCATACCAGAATAGCCCTGGAAATATTTAAAATAGATATAAACTTAATCATAAAACTCATGGAAACCAACTATGGGAACATAAGTTTACCATCCGTGGTTTTTGAATCTTTGAGCAATGAAAGATCAAATGTCAATAACATTATGAAAAAGCCTCTCCAAATATGAGTATCCAGCTATGAAAGAGAGTGTTTACACCTCTTCTGTTTTTTAAAACAGTGGAAGAATGAATAATATATATATTTTCTGACACATACGTGTATATGATACCCCTGTAAGAGTTCGTTCTTCTAAGCCAAAGAGGAATGGAACCTGATGGTATTCATTGCCTGTATAGATATATTTAACTGCTTGGCCATCACATGGCCAGATTGATATGGAGCCTACGGGCACTTTTCATGGTAAACTTTTTTGTATCTTTAAATTTTTGATCCATGTAAAATATCTATTAAAATTTAACATGATATAAGAAAATGACAGCGTAAAAGTCACACAAGTAGACATAATCTCCCTTCCAGTTTCCAGGCTGTTTTCATTCTTTGCTTTTTATATACATATAATTGAAATATTTTCCATTTTTATTCCAGGATAAGATAGTTAGAAGTTTTTGCATTAGTCCAGAGTTATAAAATTAAGGTTACACTCTGAACTTTTTTTTTTTTTTTTTTTTTTTTAATGTGGTACCAAGGTAGAACCCAGGGCCTTGTGCATAGTAGAATTTTAGGCAGGCACTCCACTACTGAACTACAACCCCTACTTTGATCTTTCTGATTAGAGAAGTATGAAATTGTTTGTAGTATTTTCTGTTTTTTCCTTCACTGGAGCCTTTTAATAAGGTTTGATGTAGAGTATAAAATAGTTACATTTGCTGAATTATTAATTAATTTTATAGATTGATTTCCAAGTTTTATAGTTTTGCTTAATTGTGCTAGTGTCCCTGGAAGCAGTTCATCTTGCTATACTCATTTTAAAGATGAAGCAGAGGCAGATATAAAATTCTTATGAAAGTGACATAGCTCATAAGGCAGAAATAAGATTTTAATTCCTTAAACATAGAATTTCTAGCCAGGCGTGGTAGCACACACCTGTAATCCCAGTGACTTGGAAGGCTGAGGCAGGAGGATTGTAAGTTTGAGGCCAGCCTCAGTAACTTAGTGAGACCTTGTCTCAAAATTTTAAAAAAAAATTGAAAAGAGCTGGGGATATGGCTTTGTGGTTAAGCACCCCTGGGTTCAATCCCTGGAACTGAAAAAATAAAATAAATTTTCTAATCTGCTTCTTAGGTGTTGAGCTGGTATTCCTCTGAGAACATACAAAGATGATGGTTGACATCCAAGAATATAAGACCAATTCACACCTGACCCAAATGTCTTGGAAGTATATTCACTACCTATGTTTGTTCTAGGGGTGAAGCAGGCCTGCTGTGAATTCTTAGAAAGTCAACTGGACCCTTCTAATTGCCTGGGTATCAGGGACTTTGCTGAAACTCACAATTGTGTTGACCTGATGCAAGCAGCTGAGGTTTTTAGCCAGAAGCATTTTCCTGAAGTGGTACAGCATGAAGAGTTCATCCTTCTGAGTCAAGGAGAGGTGGAAAAGCTAATCAAGTGTGATGAAATTCAGGTAAAGATTTGACTTGGTGTTATGGTTTCTTCAAAACTGGGCCATATCACAATGGGGGAGGGGATTAGATCTCATGATTCAGGGGAGAGCAGGGGAGTGGAAGGGATGAGAAGGGAGGGAGGAAGGAAAAAAAGATGGAATGAATCTAATAACATCATGTTTTATTTATTTATACACTCTCTAGAGGGAATATCTCCTTTTTTGTATTTGAAAGTCAATCAAGAAAACCAATAAAAAATAAATATAGGAGTGAAAAGATCAGTAAAGAGAAAAGGGGGAGGGAGAAGTGGGAAGGGGAATGGGGATTGGAAATCAGATTCCTTTTATGTATAATTATGTCAGAAGGAACTCACATAATATGTATAAATATAATGCTCTAATAAAATAAAACAGGGCCATTACAAACTTGCAAAGGAGTTACTATGCTTCTGTATCAGAGCTTCATAATTAAGCTGGCTCCAAAAATATTGGCTCCAAAGACTTCAATTTATTTGCCTGTTTATGGAGAAGGAGTTTACCATATTCTTCCTTAAATATATGATCCTAGTGGTTAAGAACCACTATTAAATAGAGCCAAATAAGCAGAGATTGGAAGCAAGATAAAGGTCCAAAGAATACTATTATCCATTTACTCATTTTACAGAGATTTATTGAGAGTATCTACTATGTGGCAATCACTAAAACAGGTGCTATGAATCCAAAACTGGTAAAATACAATTCACAGTGTAGAACTAGACACAGACATATAGACAAAAAAAGAACAGAATATAATGAAAATAATGAGCATATACAAAGTAAGAAAATCACACTGGGCGGCACATGCCTGAAATCCCAGCAGCTCTGGAGACTGAGGCAGCAGGATCACAAGTTCAAAGCCAGCCTCAGCAACTTAGTCAGGCCCTGAGCAACTCAGCAAGACCCTGCCTCTAAAGAAAATACCAAAAGGGCTGGGGATGTGGCTCAGTGGTTAAATGCCCCTGAGTTCAATCCCCAGTACCAAAAACAAAAAGAAGAGTAAACTTTTGCCCAGGAGTGGATCAAAAAGGAAGAAACAAAAAACTTTGGGCTGAGCATGGTGGTGCATACCTGTAATCCAAGTTACTAGAGAGGCTGAGGTAAGGAGATCATAAGTTTGAGGCCAGCCTTAGCAACTTAATGAGGCCCTAAGCAATTTAGCAAGACCCTCTCTCAAAAAAAAAAAATTTGAAAGGCCGGGGGTGCTGGGGATGTGGCTCAGTGATTTTTTTTTTTTTTTAAGAGACAGAGAATTTTAATATTTATTTTTTAGTTTTCGGCGGACACAACATCTTTGTTTGTATGTGGTGCTGAGGATCGAACCCGGGCCGCACGCATGCCAGGCGAGCATGCTACCGCTTGAGCCACATCCCCAGCCCGTGGCTCAGTGATTAAGCACCTCAGTGTTCAATCCCCATTACCACACACACACAAAAAAAAAGTTTGGTAAAAAAATGAGGGCCTGCATAAGCAAGAGCCAGACATAACTGCTTTACAGAGTTGCACAGGCATGGAAGGAAGGGTCCTGTGAACTGGATGTTAAAAGAGTAGTGCTTCATCTAGCAGAGGAAAAACTACCTGTGCCAGGTACCCACTCAGTGACTGAACCCAGCAAGAAGAATCTTAGTCAACCCCAATTCTAAATCAAAGTACCAGAAGTTTAGCAAAGTTTTTATGCAGATAGGTCTATAGTTAGGCTTAGAATTGGAGTGAAAAATCCAATGCCTTTGACACCTGTAGTTTTAATCTCTAATAGCCTAATTCTGTAGATAGCAACTTCTGGAAAAATACCTGTCAGAGCCAAGTGGTAGGATAGACTGTTGGATTTTGTTTCCCCCATTTAGGAGAAATTTGATTTTCTAGGCAAACTAGTAAGATTCTCCTCACTTTTCTCCTCATGCTCCTCTGGTAATAAGAAAATTGGAATTTTCATTAAGGGGTTTCCTCATGGAAGCTAGTGGCACCTCAAAAGAGATTTAAATTTTATAAAGAATTAAAAATTTGATTAATAGTCTTAAGTGCCGCAGGAGGAATTTGTTGCTTGAAGAAATTCTCGGGCTGGGGTTGTAGCTCGGTGGTAGAGTACTTGCAAAACATGTAAGGCACTGGGTTCGATTTTCAGCACCACATAAAAATAAATAAATAAAGATATTGTGTCCATCTACAACTAAAAAAAAAAAAAATTAAACAGAAAGAAAAAAGAAATTCTGTGATTTTGCGGGGGGTTGGGGGCATACACCAGGGATTGAACGCAGGGGTACTCAGCCATTGAGCCACATCCCCAGCCCTATTTTGTATTTTATTTAGAGACAGGGTCTCACTGAGTTCCTTAGCACCTTGCTTTTGCTGAGGCTGGCTTTGAACTCAGGATCCTTTTATCCCAGCCTCCCAAGCCACTAGGATTACAGGCATGCTCCACACTGGGCCTCTGATATATTTTTGTAAACCAAATGATTACTTCCTGAATTATTTTGTCAGAACTAAGATTTTTATGTAACAAAATGACAGATTTTATATATATATATTTTTTTTTAATTTTATATATGTATTATTATATTTTATATATATATATATATATTTTTTTTTTTTTTTTAATTTTAGCCAACTTTTTTGTTACAGGTTAGTGACTTTTCTGAGGGAAAATTTATTAGGACACATTGGTGAAATTGTTTCTAACAAAAGAGGAATTATCTTGCAACTTCACATGCTGTTTCAGCCCAAAGAGACTACTGTTACAAAAACTGCTGAGTCAAGAATATGCTAAAGGGGGATGGGGTTGTGGCTCACTGGTAGAGCGCTTGCCTAGCACATGTGAGGCGCTGGGTTCAATCCTTAGCACCACATAAAAATAAATAAATAAAAGTATTGTGTCCATCTGTAACAAAAATATATATATATATATATGTTAAAATCTTAGTTCTCTTCTCATGGTGTAGGACATGTAAATCCTTGTGCTGACAGGCCAAGCATAGCCAAAAATTGTATTCTTCAATCTTGGAAACTGGCAGTTTGTTAGATTTGCTTGAAAATTGGCAATTTGCTTGATTTTTCTTGATTTATCCATAAATATAGTGAATGAAATAAGCACTATAGACATAAAGTTCACTGTATGTGATAATAAAATAGCCGGTACTTATTCAGCATTTACTATTGGTTTATTTACCAGATATTTATTGGGCACTTACTATGTGCCCAGAACACTTCTAGGTGCTGGGATCCAGCTGTGAACAAAACAGACAAAAATCTGTTTCTTGGAGCTTCCATTCTAAGAAGTCTGCTCTTGGTATTTTTATCTTATTTAATTCTTACATCTCCATTTTTTTTTTAAATATTTATTTTTTAGTTGTAGTTGGACACAATACCTTTATTTCACTCATTTATTTTTATGTGGTGCTGAGGATGGAACCCAGGGTCCCGCACATGTGAGGCAAGCGCAAGGCAAGCGCTCCACCGCTGAGCTACAACCCCAGCCCCTATACCTCCATTTTTGAAAGAAGAAACCGAGGCTTGGAAATTAACCATTATACCACACCTAGTAAGTAGTAGAGCCAGGATTCAAATGCAATCATTCTGGCTCCAGAGTCTCTTCTGTTAACCACAAAAGCTGGGAGCTTTGTCACATGGTCAGTTTGTTCGTAATTTTCCAAATGAGAAAGCAATTCAGATGTAATTTATTTTATTTTGGAGCTGTGAAGACTTAGGAACAAAGTAAAATGTAACAAAGCCTTATTCAGAAGTTAGAAGCTTACATGAAAAACAGTTTGAGAGGGTTTTTTTTTGTTTTTTTTTTTTTTTTTAGTTTTCCGTAAGTATATAGTAAGACTGGCCTTTGCTTTTTATCTGTAATTACAACAAATGGCATATTTTTCTATTTATATACCATCCAGAAATAGGAACCAGATGACTTGATTCCCAGTTGCTAACACTTCCTCTTATTAAATAAAACAGTAGTATATAAAACAGTGGGAAGAAGTATATCATGTTGGTTAAAATAACATGGATTTTACAGTCAGAATTGGGTATAGTCTTGGCTGTGTAACATGTGTTATCTGTTAACTTTACATTTCCTCTCCTATAAAATGAAAATAATATTAGTATTAGTACATAGAACTATTCTGAGCATTAAATGAGAAAGCCAGTGGCTGATACGTAGAGAAATCTTCGTGAAAATTCATTAAAGAGAAACTATTTTTTTCTATAGTGAAGCATTAACATTGAAGTTTTTCTCCCCCCAAATTTAGCTGTTTCTCTGCAATTCTCATTTATTTGGCTTCATTAAAAGTAAGAAGTTCTTCCCATGATTGAAAAACTCATCTTTACATTGTTGTATCTAATTTAAACCTAGAAGCTGGGCGTGGTGGCGCACACCTGTAATCCCAACTACTCAGAAGGCTGAGGCAGGAGGATAGCAAGTACATGGCCAACCTCCGCAACTTAGGAAGACCCTCAAATAAAATGAAAGGCACTGGGAATGTAGGTCGGTGATAGAGTGCTTGCCAACATGTGTGAGGCTCTGTGTACCACAAATAAATAAATAAAATAGATAGATAGTAATTTAAATCTAGAATGTTTCAAGAATCTAGCATGCATCTGCTTTAAACTATCATTCCTTTAACAGCAACAAAAACTTACCAAATCATGGACACCCTCTGCACCCTCCCCTGAATTTACTCCATCAATATCCTGGAATATTTTGACCTCCCAAATACTTCTCTAGTACATCCATTTGTGTGTGTGTGTGTGTGTGTGTGTGTTGAGGGGTGGGGGTAATACCTAAGGGCACTTAGGCACTTAACTATATCCCTACCCACTTTTTATTTTTTATTTTGAGACAGAGTCTCACTAAGTTGCTGAGGCTGGCTTTAAACTTGTGGATCCTTCTGCTTCAGCCTCCCAAGTACTGGGATTAAAGGCATGTACCAGTGCCCCCGGAGGACATCTGTTCTTTATCACACTGCCACAACTGTAATCTAAATGCCTTCATCTTTTGCATATTATACCAGAATGACATCTAATTGATCTTCCAGCTCTTGGCCATTCTAAATTCTACTTTTGGAAGCCAGGTTTTTGTTTGTTTGTTTTTTGATTTTGATTCCAGGGATTAAATCCTGGGACACTTAACCACTGAGCCACATCCCCAGTCCCCTTCCTTTTTAATATTTTTTTAGTTGTCAATGGACCTTATATTATTTATTTATATGTGGTGCTGAGAATTAAACCCAGTGTCTCACACATACTAGAAAAGCACTCTACCCGTGAGCTACAACCCCAACCCCCCAGCCCTTTTCTGTATTTTATTTAGAGACAGGGTCTCACTGAGTTGCTTAGGACCTCATTAAGTTGTTGAGGCTGGCTTTGAACTTGCTATCCTCCTGCCTCAGCCCCCTTAGTTGTTAGGAGTGGTGCACCACTATGCCCAGCCCCAGGTAATCTGTATAAAACACCAAAATTCTCATATTTCTAGATTGCTTGAAACCTTTTAATAATTTCCAGTTTCTCTTAAAGTAAAATCCAGTCGTCTTATGTCCTTCTGGGATCTTGCCCTTAGTTACCTCTCCATCATCATCTGTTATCTTTTTTTTTTTTTTTTTTTGGTACTGGAGATTGAACTCAGGGGCACTCCAGCACTGAGCCATATCCCCAGCCCTATTTTTTTGTATTTTATTTAGAGACAGGGTCTCACTGAGTTACTTAGTGCTTCACATTGCTGAGGCTGGCTTTGAACTTGCAATCCTCCTGTCTCAGCCTCCTGAGCTGCTGGGATTATTGTTATCATTTTTCCATTTCCTCATTCATTCGACTACACTAGCCTTCTATCATTTCCTCAAGCTGCCAGTTCTTTTTTTCTCTAGGAGAGTGCTGTTCAACAGCATACAGAAAAAAATCTGTAAAAGTGGAAATGATCTGTTCTGTCTTGTTTAATAGCCACTAGCCACACATTGTTGTTAGGTATTTGAAATGTGATCAGTGCAACTAGAAGCTAAAGTTTTGATATAATTTTAGTTAATTTAAATGTAATACCCATGAGTGGCTAGTAGCTACCATATTGGAAAGTGCAGCTGAACGAGTACTTTTGAATGTGCTCTTCTATCTTCCTTAGAGTACTCTCCTTCTCCCTGGCTATGTGCTACTCATCCATCAGATTGAAATGTATTGCTTCTCCAGAGAGGCCTTCCTTGACCCATCAATGTAAATTAGGAAATCACATGCTATTCTCTCTCATCACTAGTACTTTCCTATAGAGTACGTATTAACAGATTGTTCAGTTTTCCATTTAACAGTTGCCTCTCCACTTAAGAGGAAGTATCATATCTGATTTATTCACTGCTACATAGTCAGTTTCAGGACAATGCCTGGCACTTAGTTGGGTTTCAATAAATCCATCAAATGAATGAACTTTCTGGAACACTTTCTGCACTTCCAGAATACCATAGTTCTTGAAAAAAAAAAAAGCTCACAGGGTAGTTTTTTTTTTTTTAATCTAGTCCCAGTGATACTCTAAAAGGTATCTCTCAGAACATACCCTAGTGCCTGGTGGTAAGGACACAGGGACCTATTCTTTGGTGTCTGTCTTTGGGAAGTCCTAGGTGTTGTTATACTTAGTGTCCTGGTGGTATAACATAAGGCTTTTTAGGAGGTCTTATCTTATCAAGTTTGTTATATACAAGCCTAGTCCTAAGTTCCCCAAATGATTAATTATATATAACATCTCAAATAACACAGTGCCTAATACTTAATAGTTGCTTAAATGCTAAGTGACAGTGCTTTGAAAACTGTAGCATTCCAGATGATGACAATAGAAGCTTCTGCTTCAGAGCTTGTGTGATGATTTGGAGGATAAGCCCAGAATATTTAGACCAGAATTATGAATAAAAGTTACTTCAAGAGCCAGTTTTGATTTGGACAACAGATTCTCCTACCCACTTTCCCTAAGGTTGCAGAAATAACCAGGCAAAAATTCAGAAATGGGAAAAATTCTGACACGATGGGCAACAAGTGACCTATTATATTAATTGGGTACTATCTTAATCTCTGTTGTTGTTGTTGTTTAATCAAAGTTGACAGTGTAAAATCTTTGTCTAAAAAGATTGTTTCCAAAGAAATTGTTTCCAAAAGAGTGTTTATTACCTATTTCTGGAAGATGGGAAGTAATGGTGTTGAGCAACAGAGAGCAGAAAGGACCAAGTAAACATCGTTACACTTTTTGAGATTGTGAGCTAATCATAAAAGCAAAAAATTCATGATGTGTAATTATACATTTACAGGTAGATTCTGAAGAGCCGGTCTTTGAGGCTGTCATCAATTGGGTGAAGCATGCCAAGAAAGAGCGAGAAGAATCTTTGCCTGACCTGCTACAATATGTGCGGATGCCCCTACTGACGCCCAGGTACATTACAGATGTAATAGATGCTGAGGTAAGTCATGCAAGACTCTCTGAATCCAAACCCTTGACTATCTCCTATAGCTTAATATTTACTGTGTCCTTAAAACTGGTCATTTTAGTGTGCTTGGTTTGCCTCTCCAGGAATGCGAGAGGATAGTGCTGGATACTCATCAGGCACATTTCTAAGAAAAGTAGAAGTCAGACTCCTGACACTAGTCAAAATCTGTGGTTTAATTTAATTTTGTGTGTGTGTGTTTGTTTACATACCTCTAAGGGTTTTACTTAAACAACATCAGATGATATACTTTATTCCCTTCCCTATTGCACACAAATTGTTATAGATTGCCCTGAAAAAAAGAGCAGATATGCTTTACTTAAAGCCTCTTTATTTTTGCCCTCTAGTGAAGCCAGCGTGAATGTAGTTTGATATATTTTATTTTATTCTTTTTCTTCTTCTTCTCTTTTTGGAACTGGGGGTTGAATCCAGTGATGCTTTACCACTGAGCTACATCCCTGGCCCTTTTTTTATTTTTTATTTTGAGACAGGATTTCACTATGTTGCTTAAGTCCTCAGTAAGTTGCTGAGGCTGGCTTTGAACTTTTGATCCTCCTGCCTCAGCCTCCCAAGTCACTGGGATTACAGGTGTGTACCACTGTGCCCAACTGATGCATTTTACTATCAACTTTGTTTAAATGTTGAGTTTACTTACAGAAGTGTTTCCTCAACTTAAGATTTTTGTAGTATGTTTTTAAAAGTTTTATAATACATACCACCTATTACTTTAACCATACCGTGGGAGAACACTGATTTATAACATATAGGTCCAGGTTAGCAAATGAGTTCCTTCTGTGGACTCAGCCCTGAGTCAGTGTGGAAGTTAAATACAAAAACATTTTCTTTCTTACAAACCATGCACATATGCTTTGCATCCAATTCTTTTTGTTGTTGTTGTTCTTTTTTTCCTCCCAGGGTATCCTACCACTGAGCTACATGCCCAGCCCATTTATTTATTTATTTATTTATTTATTTACTTTGGTGCTAGGTATTGGACCCAGGGATGCTTAACCACTGAGCCACATCCCAAGCCCTTTTTTATTTTTTATTTTGAGACAGGCTCTCTCTAAGTTGGTTAGGGCCTCACTGAGTTGCTGAGGCTGACCTTAAACTTGTGATTCTCCTATCTCAGCCTCTCAAGCTACTGGGACTACAAGTATCTGCCACCATACCCAGCAGCCCTTGTATTTTTTGAGACAGGGTCTTGCTAAATTGCCCAGTCTGGCCTCAAATTTGCAATCCTCCTGCCTCGGCCTCCTCAGTAGCTGGGATTACAGGTGTGCACCACTGTACCTGGTCCCTCGTGTCCAGTTCTTCACCTATCTATTATAGATAGTGCATTGACTCTGGAGCCGGAATCAGGGCTAAAATCCCAAATCCAGCACTTACTATATGAGCTTTAGACAGATTACTTAGTATATTTGTACCTGAGCTTTCTTGTCTGTAAAACAGAATAACAGGGGACTGGGAATATAGCTCAGTTGGTAGAGTGCTCACCTCATATGCGCAAAGCCCTGGGTTCAATCCCCGGAACCACAAAAACAAAACAAAACAAAGAGAATAATGTTATCCACCTCAGAGGTGTTAAGTAAATAAACGCTTTTAGAACTGTTTCTTTGCAGGTTGTATCTCAATGGTAGAGTGCTTGCCTAGCACATGTGAAGCACTGGGTTTGATCCTCAGCACCGCATAAAAACTAGTATATAAAATAAAGAATGTTTGGAGCATGATATTCCCTAAAAGAAAAGAACTGTGTCTTTGCTATTATTATTTGTTTCCCTTTCCAATTCATATTAAAACCTTCTTGGACCAGGTTAATAGATACGCTATGTAATTAGAGCTTGTATCAGTCAGGGTCCCCATAGGAAACAGATGGTGTGCTCAAAATAGTACAGTTTAAGGAAGGTTTATAGAGGAGCTGTTTACAAAGGTGTTGGTGTAGAGAAACAACAAAAGAAAATGAAATAACAGGGCTTTTGTACGGCCAAGATGTTAACAACCTTTAATCCTGAAAGGCCAAAGTAGAGGAGTGGTTATGAGAACATGAAAGGAAAGAGAATCATGGAGAGACTCGCTGTCTTAAGAGAAACTTTAACCTTTGGTAGGGCCAATTCCAACCAGAAGCCAGGGGTTATGGAACCTTATTGACATAGTTCATTCAGGGCAATCCTCTGAACCAGAGTAGAATGGAGGAGGATAGCGAATCTGAGAGTCAAATGACAGTACAGAGTTCCTTGGAAATAGACCTGGGCATTGTGACAGTGCCCATGTGAACCCTGGGGAAATTATTTCAGACAAGATATATTTCCTCCCTCTCATCCCAGAAAATGACAGAAGCCTTTTGCTTTTTCCTTAAATTCTTACTAATTAAGAATTAATTAGTACTATTAATTAATAGTATTTGTATAATCTCTAGAAGGATGTACAAACTAATAAAAGTAATTCCTCATAAGTGCCAACGTTAGTGGGGAATATATATATGTATTCTCAATATATCTTTTTGTATCCTTTGCTTGGATGTGAGGGTGTTGGAGATTGAGCACGGGGCCTTGAGCATGCTGAGCATATACTCTACCACTGAGATAATAACCCCAGCTCCCTCTCATTTGATTTTTGATCCATGTAATAAATTATCTCTTCTAAATAAATAAATTTTTTAATTGTTTCTGGAAACCCATGGCATAGTTACTAGCAGCAATCCTTCTGAAATCACAAACCTTTGAAACTGGTTTTCTGTATTAAATTCATTCGTTGTATGCAAAATTTTACTCTTACAGTATTAGAAATGGTCTATGTGGCTCACTCTGCTCTCTGCTGTATTTCAGCCTTTCATTCGCTGTAGTTTACAGTGCAGGGATCTAGTTGATGAAGCAAAGAAGTTTCATCTGAGGCCTGAACTTCGGAGTCAGATGCAGGGACCCAGGACAAGAGCTCGTCTAGGTAAGCTGGCATCTTGACTGAATTAGGTGATATCTCTCAAAACCTCTTTCAGGTGGCATAATACAATTGAAAAGACATTCTATAAGCAGTACAAAGACTTTGTTTTAGACCTGCTCTTAATCTTTTATTCTGTCATCTTAGGTAAGTCATTACATTCTAAGCTTCCTTTCCTAGGAAGCAAGAATATCTTTCCTATGTATTTCACATAACTATTTGGAAATTAAATGAGAGAACATTTAAAAGCACATTATATATTGTCAAGTGTTATGTAATATGTTACAATTTTCTTTGAGTATTTTTGGATTCTGTGAGAGACTATTTTGGATGTCATGTGGTAAGTGGTAATACTCTCTCCCACTTCTCCCCTTGTCCTTAGCGTGGTTCTTTTTTCCATTCTAGAATGAAAAAAGGAAGGAAAAGTAACCCAATATAGTAGAAAATACAGGAACATTAGCAGTGACATGCACAGGAGCCCAACCCTGGAGCCAGACTTGTGGGTATAGATCCCAGTTCACCACTTACTAGATACATTAACTTGGGTAGGAAACAACTTCTCTGTGCTTTAATTGCCTCACTTGTAAAATAGGAATCATCATAGCACCTACCTCTAAAGCTATTTCAAAGGAAGTAATTTGTGAAGGCCTAGCATAGTTCTTGTTATCTATTATTTTAGTAAACAAACCTAGGTTTCAAATCCCAGCCCCACCAGTTGCTGTCTTGGTTGGACATGATAACAGTTTATCTGAGCCTATCCTTCTGCCTCTAAAATGAGGGTTGGTTTCTTATCCCACTGGGTCACTAGGATTAATTGAGACAATACAAGTAAGATTCCTACCAGAGCTGGCACAGAGTAAGTGTGAAGATAGTTCTTCTCTTCCCATTTCCTATTGTCTCTAGTTCACTGTCCCAAGACACTAACTGTAATGTGTAAAAGTATTTTATAAATTATGAATTACTCTATATATATGAAGTGGTATTTTTATTGTTTCCTTTTTCTTATCTTGCTATGGAATCATGCATGCTAGGAACATAATTGATAATTAAACTGGTCACTCATAGGTTTAAGGGGAATAGTGTTTTATTTCTCTCTTTTTTAATACCATAAGTACCATATTTTCAAGGTACAAATTTTATTTATTTATTTGGTGGTGCTAAAGATCAAATCTAGGGGTTTGTGCATTATAAGCAAATGCTTTACCACCAAGCCACATCCCTAGTCCTAAGTAAAAATTTTAAAAATATAGAGAAACATAAAATAAAAATCATCCAGGGCTGGGGATATGCCTCAGTGGTCAAGGTGCCCCTGAGTTCAATTCCTGGTCCCAAAATAAATTTTTAAATTAATTAATTAAAGGTCCATTGACAACTAAAACAATATTTTTTTAAAAAATCATCCATAATCCCACCACCCAAAGATATTGTTTTTAAAAAAGGGAACTCTCAGATAAGGCATTATAGATGGTACTGTTCTGATAATTCCTGCAGAATGACAAAATGTGATCTGTATGTCATATAATATATACAGAAGTATATGTTAACACAAGAACCACATATGTAAAATTATAAAAATATTAGAAGGTATAGAGAAATATTTGTTTAACTTCTGAATGAAAAGCCTTATCTTTTTAAATTGTAAAATAAATGTAATGTAAATTTTGCCATTGTAACTTTTTTTTTTTTTTTTTTGGTACCAGAGATTGAACCCAGGGGTGCTTAGTTATTGAGCCATGTCCCCAGCCCTTTTTATTTTTTATATGGAAACAGGGTCTCACTAAGTTGCTTAGGTGTTGCTAAATTGCTGAGGCTGGCCTCAACTTGCAGTCCTTCTGCTTTAGCCTCCTGAGCCACTGGGATTAGAAAGTATATCACTGGGATTAGAAGTGTATATCACTGTACCTGGCCATTATGACCATTTTTAAATATACAAATGAATAGTATTAAACACATTCACATTTTTGTATAACCAATCAATCATCTGATCTCTTTTTACATGGCAAAACTGAAACTCTGTACCCATTAAACAACAATTCTAATGAATAGGAACCTTTCTAGCCAAGATAGAAAAACAGATTCCCACAAGGTTACTTAACTATATCAGTTATATATATATTTTTAATTGATGGCAAAAACAAAGAGATGAACTGGAAAAATACATATTCTATATGGTTAATATTTTTAATATGAAAAGAACCCACATAAATCGACAAGAAAAAATAATAATAGGAGATCAGCAAAATTGCTGTATAATAGCATACAGAAGAGAAAATAAAAGTGACCTTTAACATCTAAAAATACATTTCAGGACTGGGGATGTGGCTCAAGCGGTAGTGCGCTCACCTGGCATGCATGCGGCCTGGGTTCGATCCTCAGCACCACATACAAACAAAGATGTTGTGTCCGCCGAAAACTGAAAAATAAATATTAAAAAAAATAAATAAATAAAATAAAATAAAAATACACTTCATACCAGGCATGGTGACACCTGCCTCTAATCCCAGTTACTTAGAAGACTTTGTTTCAAAATGTAGAAAGGCTTGGGAATGTAGTTCAGTGATAGAGCACCCCTGGGTTCAATCCCAGGTACGGCAAAAAACAAAAATAAAAATATACTTCACTAGAAGGTCTAGAAATTAATATTAAACAAAGTAATTATTTGAGTTTAAAATATGTAAAACCCAAAATAAAATGTACACTTCTATAATTTATAAATAAAATGCCCCACTTCTAGGAATCTATGCTGTACAAATAAACACTAGTATGTAAGAATATATATAAGAATGCTTACCATAAACTGATAATGTTGCCAGAAAAAAAGGAATACAGCCTTAATTCCATCTGAAGGGGAATGAATGATTGACTAGATTATAGTACAACTATACTGGCTAATATTTTGAAACACACTTCTCCCCTTTCCCTAAAATAAAGACCACGTCACTGCCAGGATGCCTCAGTTTTAGTAATGTGGGTTTTTTCCCCACATTGTTCTTTTTTTTTTTTTTTTTTAATTTTTTAATATTTATTTCTTTTAGTTCTCGGCGGACACAACATCTTTGTTGGTATGTGGTGCTGAGGATCGAACCCGGGCCGCACGCATGCCAGGCGAGCGCGCTACCGCTTGAGCCATATCCCCAGCCCCCCACATTGTTCTTGTTAGATATCCTAGACACACTTTTCTCACTAAAAAAAAAAAAAAAAATTAAGTACCCCTTTGAGGTGTTCACATAAAAAGCAAAGGGAGATCAGTAGAAGAGAAGAAAGGGACCACAAGGGGAGAGGGCCATCAAGTGGTGCATGCCTGTAATCCTAGCAAGTCAGGAGGACAGGAGGATCACAAGATTGAGGCCAGCCTCAGTGTCTTGGTAAGACTCTGATCAACTCAGAAAGACCCTGTCTCAATAAAAAGGGCTGGATTTATAGCTTGGTAATAAAGCACCCCTGCATTCCATACAAAAACAAAACCAAAAAAAAATACATTTATTGGCAAAAAACAACAAGCTTCCTTCCAGTTGACCCTTTTATATTTGTTATACATATTAGTCAAATTGTTTTGTGTATTGGTCCCCAACTTAGGATCCAAGGATATTAAGCCCTTGGGAGTCCTTCCAGAGGAGACTTTCTAGGCAAAAAGCAAATAACAAAGGAAAGCATATTGGACTAAATAAAAACTCGTATACAAATTTTAAGGAAAATAAGTTTGGCACAACCACAGTAAAGGGTTAAAACCATTTAAAGACTTGACTATACAGTTCAGAAAAGGACAAATATAATTGACTAGTAAATATAAAGGAAGAAAGTTAAACCTAATTAATAATAGTCTTTATTAGTAATAAAATAATAATGAAAACAGTTACTTTCCTACCAGAATATTAGATATTAAAAAACAATATTCAGTGCTACAGAGAATTGAATGAGTTGGCCTTTTAATAGTGTTGGTGGGAGTATAAATTGGTATAGTCTCAAAAAATCCTCTTCTATCAGAAGTCTTTTTCCAGTTCATGTTTTTCACTCCAGCAATCCTTCAGTTTCTTTGTTAAGAAAATTATCAGTACCTGGGAGATATAGCTTAGTCGTAGATTGTGTGCTTAGCATGTGTGAAGCCCTAGATTCAATCCCTAGCACCAAAACACAAAACAAAATATAACGAGGAAAAGTTTCATTTCTAAGGATATTTATATGTGATTATAATTCCTGAAATGCCTAAGAATATTATAACCATGTATTGAAATATTTTGTTAATATCTTTGGAAAGTGAAATAAAAACTGCAGAATAAATATATATGGTCCCATTTTTGTTTTATAAATATGTAGAAACACATCTGGAAGGAAATAATGTTACATTTTGATATGTCTTTGTACTGTGGAATTATGGGTAAATTTTTCATAATATAAAATAGTATTTCATCATATGAAACAAGCATAATGTTTGTTTTCCAAGTTTTTAGTGAAAATGTATTATATATTCTGTATTAATAATTAGAAAAATAGTTTTTAAAAATCTTTTTAATGAGAGCATTAATTCACATATTAATTATGTGAAAGGGCAGGATGACTATATTAGTGCTTGAGTTGCTTTTTCTTAAAGATAACTTAGGAGGGGTGATTCACGCCAGTATCCCAGTGACTCAGGAAGATGAAGCAGGAGGATCACAAGTTGTAGGCCAGCCTTGGTAATTTAGTAAGAATGTCTCAAAAATAAAATGAAAAGGACTGGGAATATAACTCAGTGGTAGAGCACCCGTGGTTTCAATCCCCAGTACTTCAAGAAAATAAAAGAAAGAAGAAAGAAATTATTACTAGTCTCTCAAAACACAGGATGAAGTCTTTCATAACAAAGATGTTTGGGATTAATGACCCTGGGGCCCAGCCCCCTGGAACCATAAATTCCCCAAGTGACTCACACTGACACTTCTTCCAAGTTCTGCTGTAGACAGAATGTTTACTGAGAAACCTTCAGTTAACTGGAAGTACTGTTAGTTCTTTGGGTTTTGTAACAATCCATTTCTTATCTGCTTCTGTGCCTCATCTTTCAAAAGCTTCCTCAATAAAATCATATCAAGACAGTTTTTTTAATCTAGGAATTACATAAAGCAACAAAATAACAGTTGAAAAATCAGTGGAATAGAAAAATAGTTTTTAAAAATCTTTTTAATGAGAGCATTAATCTTTTTAAATCAGTGGAATTAAAATTTGCCAAGTGCAGGAAGTACTTCTCAGTTGTTGTAGCTATCTTCATTCCCTTCTACCTACAGGTATCTTCACCTAGTGTCATCTACAAGAGGAAATGTGTTTAGTTAGAACAATCACTCTCACATTCTCTGTTCAAATCAGGAAGGGAAGAGGTGGGGTAAGAAGGGAAGATAGGGGCTGGGGTTGTGGCTCAGTGGTAGAGTGCTTACCTAGCATGCACGAGGCACTGGGTTCGATCCTCAGCACCACATAAATATAAAATAAAGATATTGTGTCCAGCTAAAACTAAATAAATATTTTTTTTTAAAAAAGGCAGATAGGTAGGGGAGATAGTGCTGCCATGAAAGTTGGAGGCCAAGCTCAATGTCAGCCTCAACAACGTAGCCAGGCCATGGAAGACACAAAGAACTTATGGTTCTGACCTCTTCCAGCTTGAGGAAATTTTAGGCATATAAAAGTTGCTTAATATTAAAGGAACCTGCATTCAGATGCTTTGTTTTTCTAAGGAGCTGCCTACTGAAACCTACTTATTCACTCACTTTGGGGAAGAGTCTGCTTTATTTGGCAAGTACACAAGACAGGTGCCCTCTTAAAATATGAGGTTAATTCTGGGATTTATGTACGGATATGTGAGTGTGTGGTAAGAAAAATTTTATAAACATTTATTAAAAAAAAAATCAGGAGGATATAATGATTTCCCATACCCATCACCCAGTTTCAACAATTAACAACTCATGGCCTATCTATTTTAAAGCAAATTCCAAACAGGATATAATTCTATGATAATATATACTTCAGCATGTATCCCAAAAAGATGAGGAACGTTTTTTAAAAAAACACATTCAAATTATCAGTCTAAAAAACACATACGGTTCCTTATTATCATCAGATATCAAGTATATGTTTTTAATTTTTTTTCCCCATAATTAGTAGTTGTTTTAAGGGTTTTGGGGTTTGTTTGTTTGTTTTGGTTTTTTTTGTTTTGGTGTTGTGGATTCAACCCAGGGGCATTTTACCATTGGACTACGTCCCTAGCCCATTTTGGTTTTTATTTTGAGATAGGTTCTCGCTAAATTATTTAGGGCCTGGCTACGTTGTTGAAGCTGACATTGAGCTTGGCCTCCAACTTGTGATCCTCCTGCCTCAGTTTCCTGAATAGCTTGGATTACAGGTGTGCCACCACCATGACCACCTGTTGCCTGTTTTTGAACACTGAAGTTGTTCAAATCAGGATCAGATAAAGTCCATACATTGCAATGGTGTCCTATGTCTCTTTAGGTCTTTAAACCATAGTTTTTTTAAACCATAGTTTAGTTTTTCCTTTGTTTGTTGACAAAACCAGGCTGTTTGACCTGTAGAATTTCCCTTATTCTGTATTTTGTTAATTACATCCTTATAAAAGTATTTAACATGTTCTTCTTTCCCCTGTATTTTGTATAGACTGGTGATTATACTAGAGGCTTGATAAGATTTAGGCTCAGTGTCTTGGAAAAATTACTTCACAGGTTGTAGTGTTTTTTTGTTTGTTTGTTTGTTTGTTTTCCTATACATCAATCACATCAGGAAGCACACAGTGTCCAATGATAATATATTAGCTTTTCACCTAATTACTGTAGCAGCCATTGATGATAATTATCAAATCCATAACTTCATCTGTCTTTCTTGTCAGCTTCAAAGTGTGCTACATTTGCTCTTTCAAGTCCAGGTTACTTATAAGATCTGCTTGGTCTCCTAAATGCCTTCCTAGTGATTGAATTGTCCAAAGCTCCACCAACTGTTCTCTCCATGAATTCTCATAGACTTTGCCCTTTGAAAAGAGCCAAGGCAGGAAATCTTTTATCAGAATAAGGCCTTAGGGGAGAGGGGAGGAAATAAAGGCTGTCAGAATAGCTTCTTTGGGAAAATAGAAGGAATGACTTTCCTTTAAAAGCTTCATCTTTGGTAACCTCACAGTTTTGATGAATTGACAGAGAATGTGATCATATAGTTAGCCAAGTTGGAAAAATAAATGTTCGTGAAAAGAGATTTCTTAAATCTTGCCAGGCGCAGTGGCTCGTGTCTGTAATCCCAGAGACTAAGGCAGGAGGATTGCAAGTTCAAGGCCAGCGTTGGCAATTTAGCAAGGCCCTAAGCAATTTAACGAGACCCTGCCGAAAAATAAAAATTAAAAAAAGGACAGGATACATGGCTCAGTGATTAAGTGCCCTTGGGTTCAATACCCAGTACCAATTACAAATAAAATCTTATTACTTGGTTTCTAAGCCTTAACCCTCACCATTTTTGGGATAGGGTTAAGAAAATGTTTTTTTCTTCATTAGAAAGAAAATTCCAATTTGGGTTTTCCAGGCTGAGGAGAGCAGGAAAGGAGCCTCCCAACTATATTTAGGACCCCAGTTACAATGTTAGCCAGAATCATCTAGCTATAATGAAATGATGTAGTGGAATGTTCAGGTTCACCTTCTGTAGTTTTAATGTCCAGAAACTTTCATTTCAGAAATTCAGGTTCTCAAGAGCTAGACTCTTAAGAAGAAATAGTTTCCCACTAAGCAGCCCTGTGATGTATAAAACAAGATAACCTAGAGCTATGTATGCTTATTCTTCCCTAGGAGTAGTTACCGAGCCAAAGATGATGACATAACGTATTTTTTCTTTGTCCTTAGGAGCCAATGAAGTGCTTCTGGTGGTTGGTGGCTTCGGAAGCCAGCAGTCTCCCATTGATGTAGTAGAGAAATATGACCCCAAGACTCAGGAGTGGAGCTTTTTGCCAGTAAGTGGTAGTGAAACCATTCGTGGGCAGAGAGCTTAAATGTCCTGCATTCCTGACTTAAGATGATAACCAGTCTAGCCCACGAGTAGAAAAGCATAGTAGCCACATGTGTTTCTTACTACAATGTTGCACACACAGTAGGTACTCCATAAATGGGTTGTTTTGTTTATTTTTATTCTTTTGTGGTGCTGGGGATCAAACCCAGAGCCTGACACATGCTAGGCAAGTGCCCTGCCACGGAGCTACACCCCAAGCCCCTCAATAAACAGTTTAGGTTAGAAAATCAGAAGATTAAACTTCAGGAACATTGGTGTTCCTGTTTGAATTTAATTCAGCTGTCCACCATTATTTAGGTACGGCTGATCATGCTGTATTAAATGTTTTAAATCAAACTTGTGTTCAGTTGAACTCAAAAACTTTGTATCTTTCATCCTCAGTATTTATTATTTCAGTACTGAAATATTTTCTGAGAAAACTTGGAAATCTTTTGATCAGTCCTTCCTTTTGTAATTTTGAATACTGGCCCTATGATTGATTAGCAATGTGGGGATACTTTTCCACATTATAGAAGGATATCAGTCTCTTAGCCCAGTGCCTTTGAAGTCAATCACTGGGTAGTTGAAAGGCATGAAATCTCTTGGAAATCTTGGAACAAGGTAAATGTGCTTCTAGAAAGCACCACAGCAAAAATTCCATTCAGCTGGAGGCCACTTGAGGAGGAACCACTGCCTCAGGAAAAGTTCATGTGACAGGTAAAAGAAGCAAAGAGGTGTATAATAAAGACAGAAAGGTCAGCAAAATGTAAGGCCTAAAACTTGCCTGAATGAAATCCTCTGTACCTCTTCTTTCCCAAATCCATAGAGCATCACTCGTAAGAGACGTTATGTGGCCTCAGTGTCCCTACATGACCGGATCTATGTAATTGGTGGCTATGATGGCCGTTCCCGCCTCAGTTCAGTGGAATGTCTAGACTCCACAGCAGATGAGGATGGGGTCTGGTATTCTGTGGCCCCTATGAATGTCCGACGAGGTCTTGCTGGAGCTACCACCCTGGGAGGTAGGCTTGCTGTGCAGACCATGTTTCCATCTCACTGTAACTAGACCAGTGTATCAGCATTCTTACCTCTCCTGTTATCTGGCAGGAATTATGGAGGATAAACTGGCAAGGTCAAATGTTTCTTTTTGGTTTTGGAACTGACAGTGTTACAGAAGCTGTTTGATATTTGTGGATCTTTCAATAATGACTCCAAAGTTGGTAATTCAAGTTCCATTGTGCTGGATGAGAACTAGCGATAGTTGTATTTCAGATTCCCAGGTAGTCTTTGAATGCTTTTAAGAATTTCATCTTACACCATTCTTTTTAAAGATCTCTTAACTGTGCTATCTTCCTTATCTCTGAGACATAATTGACTTATCCCAGTTAAACACAACATTTTTGCTCCCAGACATGTGAAGAATCTGTGGGGAATTGTAAAGAAAAGAATTCTTTGAAATCTCTCATTCTTTAATAGTCTGTAATTTGTTCATTCTGAACAGATATGATATACGTCTCTGGAGGCTTTGATGGAAGCCGACGTCATACCAGTATGGAGCGATATGACCCAAACATTGACCAGTGGAGCATGCTAGGAGATATGCAGACAGCTCGAGAGGGTGCTGGACTAGTAGTGGCCAGTGGAGTGATCTACTGTCTAGGTATTCAGCCTGGGATGCAGGGATGGAGAGAACTCAATGGTTAGCAGACTCTAGGTAGAATTCCTTTTTATCCAAATTAAGTTCATAGACTTCCTTCCACAAGGATTGTTGGTCTGTCTCAATATATTTTCCATTAACTGGGATTATCATTTTTTTTATAAGCAAACAGTAGGGTAGTATTAGATTTCTGTTTGGGTTATTAGAACTCTGTGGGAGAATTGAAACTAAAAAAATTATGTGAAGCTATAAGGGAATGCTAACTGGGAATGGGCCTGAGGCTTTACCTTTCTTGTTGGAATGATCTCTACTTTATTTTCCAGGAGGATATGATGGCTTGAATATTTTAAATTCAGTTGAGAAATACGATCCACATACTGGACACTGGACTAATGTTACACCAATGGCTACCAAGCGTTCAGGTAAAACCAGTAGATTTGAGGGAGGAGGCAGGAAACAGTGCTGTCAAATCTTTACACATGCAGTATTAATGTACAGGACAATATCAGTAAATCAGAGTTGCAATTCCTGTTTCCCTATAGACTTGTATAAGTTAGATTCAAGTTTCTTCCTTGCCTCTTTTCTTTAAATATTATTGAGAAAAAGATAAACTTTCAACTAGATTATAAATTTGAGGGCAAAAACTTTTTTGTTTTACTCATTTTAATGTCTTTGTTCCCTTCCTGCATGACAAAATATTTAATACAATTTTGTGTTGTTGTAATATATGTTAAATAAAACATCTAATGTGTAAGGACAGAACAATAGCTGTTTACCTTCACTGAGAGCTTCTTGAAATTGACTAGGCTGGGTATGTAAGAAAAGAGAAAACACTACTCCTCCAGTTTTCTTCTGGATAAATATTGGACCATAACCAAAGTAATGACTCCTTTCTTTCCTCTCACCATTATTGCCCCTTCCTGTTTTCTCCTACTGTGAAGAGATTGAGCTCTGAGTTAATGAAGGTGAAGAAGAGAACCATTTCAAATTTTCTTTTATCATTCTAAGTCCTAGTCAGAGAGTTTACAGATGAGCCAGGCATAGCTATAATCATAGTAACTCTAAAGGTTGAGGCAAGAGGATCACAAGTTCAAAGCCACTTGGAGCCATTTAGCAAGATCCTGCCTCAAAATAAAAAAATCAAGAAGAGGGTCTGGGAATGTAGCTTAGTGGTAGAGAGCTTAGGTTCAGTCCCTATACAGAAGGTGTGGAGGTGGGGGCTGGAGATGTAAAAACCTATACTGCCCTAGGTTTTTTCTAGGCCTGTGTAGGGCATTTCCATATGCCTTGCCTACCCCAGAGCTCAGCTAGCCATTAATGACCATGTTTTGTTTCTAGAATTCAAATCCTAGGTGCAATAACATTACTTGGCTAATACACTCTTTTTTTTCCCCAGGTGCTGGAGTAGCCCTTCTGAATGACCATATTTATGTGGTGGGGGGATTTGATGGCACAGCCCACCTTTCTTCAGTTGAAGCATACAACATTCGCACTGATTCCTGGACAACTGTCACTAGTATGACCACTCCGCGATGTTATGTAGGGGCCACAGTGCTTCGAGGGAGACTCTATGCAATTGCAGGGTAAGAATTTAGAAACCAGAGTAGAATCCTGCATCCAGGGCAAGAGTCTCTGGGATCCAAACCCCATTTTTGGGTGGAGACAATTTAGGTGGAGGAGATATCTGTAGTGATAACCCTAATGAAGGACTGATACATAATGCTCGTTTCTTTTCTTTTGCTTTTCCCCACTCAGATATGATGGCAATTCCCTGCTGAGTAGCATTGAATGCTATGACCCAATCATCGACAGTTGGGAAGTAGTGACATCCATGGGAACCCAGCGCTGTGATGCTGGTGTGTGTGTTCTCCGAGAGAAATGACCATTGTTAGAGCACCATCCAGAGCTAGTGACCAGTCCAGAGGACAGATTGTGGAAGAGTCAAGGATCCTTTCCAGAATATCTATTTCTCACTGTGTGCACAGAGTGATTACAAGCACCAGTGCAGTGATGATTGTACTTATTTGACCACACTCCCCCTCGCGCTGGTAATATCCCACACAAGGGTGTGAAACAGGTACCCAAGGGAAGAGAATGCACAGTGAATGGATGTGAGACCAGATAGCCTCTCCCTCTGGTCTGGGGAGCACTTTCTTATTATTTCTTTCTTAACCATGTGCTTGGGAGTGTGTGTGTGTGTTCTGCCTCTTACATTGCAGAGAACTAAGGTGGGTATGGCCTCTACATATAGACAGTACCCAGTCTAAATGATTGGAGGGATTCCAGCTTGAGTAAGCTTGGTAAAATCCAAGGCCAAGTCCCTCCTGCCCCCACCCGGGAACAAATACCTTTTCTAATCTACAAAGAGCTGAGGACTCCACAGTTCCATTCAGAAAAAAAACAAAAGGGAAAGCCCTATCAAAACTTTGGGGGCCAAGGGAAGAGTTCTGTGTGACATCCCTTAAGGGAAAAGGTTTGGTATATCCAAACTGAGGTTAGAATAAGTGACATGAACTGAGTTTGATGGGATGTGAGTGAACCTACACTACCACTAAATATAACCTAGAAGACTGAGAAGGATATATTATTTGAAAGATCTTTTTATTACCCCAAGTTCTTTCTAAAAGTAAAGTGCTGTACATCTTGGAACTGGAGACTGAGAGAATACAGAATGAACAAATGTTGGAATGAGAGGAGATGGCTTAAATATACCTGGGGATAAACTAGAAGTACCTGTGATTTTACAATCATCTTATTTCCTGCCAGGGCTCTTGTAGCCATGGCAATGTTTATCTTGAAAGGGTGAAAGACTTTCTTTGTTGAATCAAATACTACTACACTATTACGCTATTTATTTGGGGATGGGGTGGGGGGTGGCAGCAACCTGGTAGTTTAACTACCTGATTACTGCCCCGTTCTTTTAAGAGCACACTTCTGCTAAGAAGTGTTTTTTACTGCTGTGTTTGGTACATTTAGTCTTCTTCCTGCTATAAGTTTCCCTTACCTGTCTTTCGAGTGAATTTTATTCATCCCAGGACAGAATAATCAAGAACAACCAAAATTCTTGTTAGTTCCAGTACCTCTGCTCTCACCATTTCTGAGCTACCATTCAGACCTCTTCTGTGTCATAAAGTTGTTGATTATGGGTATAGGAGTGTGGGAATGTGATAACTTAAAACAAGGATGCACTTTCCCTTTGCTCTGGAATTCCACTTTTTCCTCTTTCTGAGTTGTATTGACCTACAGAATTAATTTCCTTTGTATTTTTTTAAGAAAATAAAAAAGTCAACTGTCTCAAATGCCTTTAAGAGAGTTTGTGTGGGCAGGGGATATAGCTCCGTGGCAGAACACTTACCTGTCATACATGAACTCTGGGTTCCATCCCCAGCACCACACACACACATATACATACATGTTTGTTGCTAATGAGCTCTGCCTTCAGACATTTTAAGGAATAGGCATACAGATCAGCTGTAGGTCCTGTTTCTATCTGTTCACTGTGTGTGTGCCAACTAGCTCTGCTATTTTTGTTAGACAAGGGTAAGAGATAGCACTTTGGCCACAGTTTGGAGGTTCTCCAAACTGTTCAATGTTAATCTGAATTTGTCGTATTCATTGGCCCCTCTCCCACCTGGAGTTTACTTGAAACCAAAGGAAATAAAGAGGTGCAGTCTTGAACTTATTTAGCACCCACTTGAATTTTTCAGTCACCCCAGTCCTTTGTTGTGATAGGTTTTTGTTTGTTTTTGACATACTGGGAATTGAACCAGAGCCTCATGCATGCTAGGCAAGCACTCTACCACTGAACTACATCCCCAGCCCTTTTTATTTGATACTGAGACAAGATCTTGCCATTTTCCCCAGGCTGGCCTCAAATTTGAGATTCTGCCTCAGCCTACCAAGTAACTGGGTACAGATGTGTACCACCATACCCTCCCACCCCAGTCCTTGTTCTGTTTACTTCAATTTATTGCACATGATGTAAACAGCTATGCAGAAGGCCTGCGAAACTGCAAAAATTTGGATGTTCTCAGAGCAAAAGGAAGTGCATAAAAGGAAATCATTTTCACTACAGAGGCCTGCCAGCCTTTCTTTATCATATGGATTGACACATTGTAATTTTTGTTTTTATTATTGCTTTTTTGTTTTGTTTGATCTTTGGGGTTTTTGTTTTTGGGTTTGTGCTTGCTAACCACAACCTGTGAAACCTGGCTCATCTTATCTCAGGAAGAGATTAAGGGGAAATTGCAGGTGAGGCAGAAATGGAGGTATAGGACTGATGGCTCTAGTACCAATTCCTGAATTCAGGCCAAATTCATAAATACATGAAGCCACCAAATTCATGTAAAACATGAAGCCGCAGCTGAATGTTCTACAGGAAATCAACATGTAAAACTCACTGCTCCTTTTCTACTTTATTCCCCAATTTTACACACCTTCACATTTTCTCACTTGTACACAAGGATCTCCCTAATTTGGTGGTTCCTCGTTATTCTAGCTCCTATAATTAGTAGTCAGTTACCTACTTACTTAGCTAAGGAAAGCTTTCTCTTGTCTGTCATCACAGTAGACACCCAGTTAGTTTCTAAGTTCTTACATTTCTTAGTTTCAGATCCATTCCCATATCTTCATTCTCTTCTACCAGACAGCTCGGGCCTTTATGCTGGATTCATGAGGTAATAATCTCCTAATGTCCTTACTACTACTCTTTTCCTCTGTTATCCGATTCCTTTATTTTGTGAAGCTCAGATATAATCATTACAGTACTTAACATATAAGAGATTATTGGTATATATTGTGGTGATTTCCAGCCTAAAATTCCATAGATTTCCATTACCTATATTTTAAAGTTAAAATTCCTTAGTATGACATTAGACCCATGACATCTAGTCCCATTCTACCTTCTCCCAGGGATAATGTGCTTCTGTCACTGGTCTATTTACCATTCCTAAATTTGCTCAAACCCTGGTTCGTGGATTATACTTTTCCCTCTAAATCTTGCTTTCCTGATAATCCTAGTCGCTTCTTAATGCCTAGTTAAAAGGTCACCTAGGTAAAGCCCTTTCAACTCCCCAGACAAAAGTATTCCCCAGTCCATTTACAGTAGTTTGCTCCTTAATGTTTTTTATTACATGCCATTGGGTTCAAGTGTCTTCCTGTTCAGGTTATATTCACGTATACAGAGATCCTAATTGTACCTCAGGGTGCAGCATCATGTCTGGTGTATTATTACTAAAAATGGAACTAATGAAAGAAGCAGCAGAAAACAGCAGGAGATGGTGGGCAGATTATTTTGTTCTCCCTGACCATTTCAGTAAACGTTACCTATTGTACTCGAATGTACTGAGATGTAACTAAGATGCAACTACTAAATTGGAGGTGTAAAGACTAATAATTGAGGTGATATAGTATAAGAAGAATAGCGATTTTAGAGCTGCATTCTATGGACTCTGGAAAGAAATTTCTGATCTTTGCCTTCCTCGTGTGCCAACCCCATATGGAAACTGCAATGATTTAACAAGTTACAAAACCCACTAAAGCACGTTGCTTTGCTGCCTAGTAGTCACTATTATTAGACCAGAGAGTAACAAAAACGTCCACGCATCTTTTCCAACACCAAAATGGCATTCATCCCTCTTAAGTTGCTTCCTACAAAAAAAAGATAACATGGTTAGACCTTGCTGAAGGGGGAATTCGACCCAAATTTCCTCCCAATAATATCCCCATCCATTCGCAAGACGCTTACAATCGCAGAAAACTGAAGGGTAAGGCCATCCTTAATGCTTTGTCTAGATCTAAATACTAAAGGGAGCCTGGTCACCGGGTGGGTATGCGGAGTAAGGTTTTGACAATGGTCACAGGAGGTGCCTCTGTCACAAAGCCATGCTGACAGCCACCCGGGCTGGGCAAAGAATGAGGGCGCTTGCGCAGCAGGTTACAGCGCGGTGGAAGCGGACGCCTGCGCAGAGGGGGTGATCGTGCGCTCGCGCCCCGCCTCTGCTGAGCCGCGCCAGCGCAGTCAAGAGCCAGCGAGCAGAAGCAGCGCCTGCGTGGTCGTGGCAGGGGAGGCTGTGGCGGCAGCGGCGATGGAGCCAGCGGAGCCCCCAAACGAGTTGGTGTCAGCCGAGGGCCGAAACCGGAAGGCGGTGCTGTGCCAACGTTGTGGCTCTCGCGTGCTGCAGCCAGGGACCGCTCTCTTCTCCCGTCGACAGGTAGGAAGGCAGGTTAGAGGCCGCTTCCATTGCAGTCTTCCATGGGCCGAAGCAGTCTGTGTCCCGGCTCTTGGATTTCCGGAGACCGCGCCCCTCCTCGCGCCGTTCTTAAGCCCCGCCCCTCGGCTCGAGGTCCCGCCCCACTGGCTCCTGTCGGAGAGGCTCCGCCCCTGCGGCCGTGCCCGCGGGAGCTGCGTGGGCCGCTGCCCCGGGACTGGTGAAGCCTTTGGGTGGAAGGACCTTCCCAGATCCTGCTGCAGGAGAGCTTCCTCTGCGCCAGCCTCCCCCAGGCGTCCCTCCCGAGCGCGGGCAATATGCCCCTCTGAGCCCAGGGAGGTTTCCGCGTGCTAGTGCGAGGAGTGCTCCCCAGCCCGCTGCTTCCAGGAGCTCTGGCCAACCTGTGAGACCCGCAGGTGCATATTTCAGTCGTCGATCTGTTGTCGCCCGGATCCTTACTTCACTGTATCTGGAGCTCCAGATACAACTTTGGTGTAGGGATACGCAGAATAATTCCTGGTACACAATTTTCCAAGGCACTACAAGCCAGTTTTGAGACGAATCATTTCATGTGAGATAGATATCAGAAATTCTGGAAATAAATTTCGAAGGAAAACAAATAATTTTTCTTCAGATTAGGACTTTTAATACCCATCGTACCACCGTCACTCCAAATGAGAAAGTTGATACATTTTTTTTGTTTATTTTGGTAAAGTTTTTATTAAAATGTAACATACCCTTAGGAAAGTGCAGGAGTATAATTTCATTTCAACCACATGATATCCTATCATTCCAAATGATTTTTAAAAAATAACATAGACCAACTTATTATTTCATGCAGTTGAACTGATTGTAAAGTGCAGTTTTCAGTATAGGAGCAAGAAGCCCCTTTTCCTCCAAAGCAGAGACTACCTTTTTTCATAAGAGAAGGAAAAAAGGAATCAAACCGCCCCCCTTATTCTGTGGGAGTTAGATGACTTCCCCTCTAGAGAGGTTGGAGTCCCACCTGCTCTCTTGGGAAGACTCCCAAGGATTGGAAGTAGAGTTCTCGGCTTATTTTACCAAGTTAGTAGTATCACAGAGAGGTGGAAAGAACATGGGTCTCAAAATTAAATCCTGACCTTACCATTCATAAACATTGCCATGAGTGGCTGGGGTTGTAGCTCATTGGTAGATCGCTTGCCTGGCATATGTGAGGCACTGCATTTGATCCTCAGCACATAAAAATAAATAAAGGGCTGGGGTCGGCTCAGTGGCAGAGTGCTCATGTGGCACGTATGAGGCACTGGGTTCCATCCTCAGCACCACATACAAACAGATGTTGTGTCTGCCAAAAACTAAAAAAAAAAAATGTTAAAATTCTCTCTCTCTCACTCTCTCTCTCTCTTAAAAAAAATAAATAAATAAAATAAAGATATTGTGTATATCTACAACTTAAAAAAAACAAAACCATGAACTTAAGATTTCTGGGCTGAAAAATGAAGATGATGTAGGGAAGAATTTGTGTGAAAGCATTAGCAAGGTACCTCATAGATAGTACATACTGTATTCATATCCAGTTCTCATGCTATGAAAGTTGTCTACTTTTATAAGCAGACATTAAGAAATTCCCGCTGGGCGTGATGGCACATGCCTGTAATCCTAGTAGCTTGGGAGGCTGAGACAGGAGGATCATGAGTTCAAAGCCAGTCTCAGCAAAAGTGAGGCACTAAGCAACTCAGAGAGATCCTGTCTCTAAATAAAATACAAAATAAGGCTGAGGATGTGGCTCAGTGGTTGAGTGCCCCTGAGCTAAATCCCCAATATGAAAAAAAAAAAAATTTCCTTTAGGTAGGCTGGGGTTGTAGCTCATTGGTAGTGCTTGCCTCCCATGTGTGAGGCATTGGGTTTGATTCTCAGCACCACATGAAAACAAAGGTGTTGTGTCCATCTACAATTTAAAATATTTTTTATAAAATTCTTGGGTAATTTTATGTTTAAATTATTTTTTTGTTTGATATATATTATTGTAAACTAGTGTTGCCAAACATTGTGTAAGCAAATTACATTATGCATGTTACATTTCTTTTTCATACAGAGTGGCTGCTGTTCTAGAAAGGAGCATAAGAATTGTTTTTTAGGTGTAATGCTCACCTCCACCACCCCTCTTTCTCTTCTCTTTTTTATTTTTATGTTTTCCCCTGCAGTACTAGGGATTGAACCCAGAGGGACTCTACTACTGAGCTACATCTCCAACCCATTGTATTTTTTATTTTGAGTCACGGTCTCCCTGGCTTTGAATTTTCAATCCTTTTGCCTCAGCCTCCTGAGTAGATTGGTATTACAGGTGTACACCACCACACCTGGCTAATATTTTTCCCTTATTTTATTTTGGGGTGCCTGGGGATTAAACCCAGGAGTACTTTACCAATGAGGCACATTGCTGGTCTCTTTTTTTGGAAATAGGGTCTTACTAAGTTACCCAGGTGAGCCTTGAACTTGCAATCCTCCTGCCTCAACCTCCTAGGTCACTGGAATTACAAGCATGTGCCACCTCCCTCTTTTTAAAAGACATAAAGAGATAGGGTTGTTTGTTTGGGTCTTTTGTTTTTGTCTATTTAGTTTGTGTTTTACCATTGCTTCAGAGTTTCTGGAAATTTCCTATTTCTTGAAAAAGGCTATTGGAAGAATATTATGCTTTCCCCAGACTCTAGCAGCCCTACTCTGATCCAACCCAGATCTCCCCTTGATTTTAGTACTATTTTTCAGTATTCCTTTCTTTCCACAAATAACATAAATTCTAGGATATGATGTGAACAGGAAGTTGAGATCTCGTGGAAGATTTCTAACCAGTTATTACTTCTTCACCTATTATGAGTTATATATTTCAGGGAAGAAGAAAAAAGTCCCTGCCCTTATAGAGAACAATTTGCAACTTGAAGGGCACTGCACTCCCTAACTGAAACCCTGTAAAGCTTTAGAAACCTTGAGGGAGGAAAAAAAAGATCTAGGGTGCAGTGATTACTGCATCTCATATTCCATAGTTCTTTAGTCTAAAGCAATGTTTCCATAGTTATGTCCCTCAAAGGGAAAAATCTAGAGACATGTCTAGAGATTTTTTTGGTTGTCCAAATTGGGGAGGGGTGCTACTGGCATCTAGCAGGTAAAAGCCAGAGATGCTACTTAGCATCCTGTAACCCCAGGCCTGTTCCCAGAGCAAAGAAATCTTTAGTTCAAAATGTCAGTAGTTCCAACATTGAGAAATCCTGGCCTACAGACTGGAAAGCACTCTCACATCTATCATCTCAGTTGACCTTATTAAAATATTTGTATTGTTTGCTGTTTATACACTAGACAATGAGGTTCATGTCTCTACATCTTGTACAACTAGACTGCACATCAGTTAGAACCTAGGAAATGTTTGGATTTAAATAAATTAATGAATTAAAAGCTATGAGTCCAGCTAAATAATGTGTTAGTTTGGATATAGTGGATCAGTATGTTTAGCCAGCACTAAAACTGCACTATTTATGTAGCATGTGATTTATGTTCTTTTTATTCATAGAATTGGTTTCACAAATAAAATATCCCTATCCTTGAAAAGGACTAAGTTGACTAGTCCTTTTCCAAAATGCAGGGGAATAGGAGTGTTTTATTTTTTTATCTTTTGCATTGCTAGCTATGAAACTCAGCCTCTTGCTTGCTAGGCAGGAGCTCTACCACTGAGATACATCCCCATCCTAGGAGTGTTTTAGACTTCAGATTTTTTGGATTTGGAAATATTTGCAAATACATAATGAGATATCTTGGTGATGAGACCCAGGTTTAAACATGAAATTCTTTTGTTTAATATACACCTTTCCACATAGCCTAAAGGTAATTTTATGCAGTATTTTAGTACCTGTGTTTTGACTATGACCCATCAAATGAGGCCAGCTGTGGAATTTTCCACTTGTGGCATCATGTTGATGCTCAAAAAGCTTCAGATAGTGGAGCATTTCAGATCAGATTTTTGGTTTAGGGAACCTGTATTTATCATAGCCTTTCCTAAAGTTTTTAGTGGAGGAAATTATAATTAAGCTGAGTAGAGTCAGGATGAAAAGCATTTCATAGCTGAGAGAAAGTATAGTACATCTGAAGAACTGAACATAGTCTGATAAAAGTGACAGAAACCAGGCACAATGGCAAATGCTTACAATCCCCAGGGCACTGCAGAAGGAAAATCACAAGTTCAAGACCAGCCTCAGCAACTTAATGAGACTTGTCTCAAACAGGGCTGGGGAGCTAGGTGTAGTGGCACACGCCTGTAATCCCAGTGGCTCCGGAGGCCAAGGCAGGAGGATCGAGAGTTCAAAGCTAGCCTCAGCAAAAGTGAGGCACTAAGCAACTCAGTGAGACCCTGTCTCTAAATAAAATACAAAATAGGGCTGGAGGTATGGCCCAGTGGTAGAGTGCCCCTGGGTTCAGTTCCCAGTCCTAGGGTGGAATGGTGGCAGGAAATGAGGCTGAAGTGGAATTAAGGTAATTAGAATGGAGGTGGGGAGGGAGCCATGGGGGTGGACACCCATGAAGTGGATAGGATATGAATCAAAAGAAAGACTCATGCCACGCATGGTGGTATATACCTGTAATCCCAGCAGCTCAGGAGGCTGAGGCAATTTAGTGATGCTCTAAGCAACTCAATGAGACCCTGTCTCTAAAAATAATTAAGAAGGTCTAAAGATGTGGCTCAGTGGTTAAGTACCCCTGGGTTCAATCCCCATTATGAGGGGAAGGGGAAGGGGGAAGGGAGGGAAAAGAGAAAAAAGGGAGGAAGGGAGGAAAGAAGAAAGAAGAAGGAAGAAATCTTAAAAGATTACATATTGTATGCTTCCTTTTACATAACATTTTCAAAATGACAAAATTTTTCATAAGCAAAAGACAGGGTAGTGGTTGCCAGAGGATAGGAAATGGGGTAGGGGTACACTGAGTGTGATTATAAAAGAGCAGTGTGAGGGTCCTTGAGGCAATGGAACTATTCACTGTCTTACTGCGACAGTGGATATACAAACTTACATGTGATAAAATGGTATAGATAAATACGCCCATGCTGAGCATGGTGGCACTAGCTACCCGAGAGGCTGAGGCAGGATCACAGTTGATGCCAGCCTGGGCTGGGCAGCTTAGCGACCCCCTGTCTCAAAATTAAAAAGGGCTAGGGATGTAGCTCAGTGGTAGAGCAGCCCTGGGTTCAATCCCCAGTAATAGGAAGGGGAAAAAAACAAAAGAACTAAATACACAAGTGTACAAATGAGAAGTAACTGGTGTCATCTGAATAATTAAATCTATGGACTATATCTGTGTTTATATGCTGATTGGGATATTATGCAGTTTTGCAAACTGTTACCTTTAGGGGGAACCGGGTAAAAAGTACATGGAATTTCTGGGTTGTTTTTTTTTAATTATTATTTATTTTCACTTACCTTTTTTTTTTTTTCTTCAGTGCTGTGGATTGAACCCAGGGTCGCTTTACCACTGAGCTACACAATCCCAGCCCTTTTTTATTTTGAGTCAGGGTCTTGCTAAATTGCCTAGGCTGGGGCTAAGGCTGTAGCTCAGTGGTAGAGCACTCACCTTGCATGCGTGAGACCCTGGGTTTGATCCCAAGCACCACATAAAAATAAACAAATAAAGATATTGTGTCCATCTACAATTTAAAAAATTATTTTAAAAATAAATAAATTGCCTAGGCTGGTCTTGAACTTGCAACCCTTATGCCTCAGCTTCGTAAATTGCTGGAATTACAGGCATGCACCACCAAGCCCAGTAATCTGACTTCTAATTTAATGGCTGAAGGCCCTCAGAGCAAGTATCCCAAGAGAAACACAAGTTGCATGCCCTTTTTAAGCTAGCCTGGCACTTTCACTGCCTTATAGCCAAGGCAGTCATCTTGGCCTGTCCATGCTCCACCTCCTGGCAGAGAATTATCAAAGAATTTATAGATATGTTTAAACCACAAGTTTTCACAGAAGGGAGATAATTACCACAAAGTTAACAGAAGTTTACTCTGCATTATAACAGTTTTTATTCTCATTCAAACTGTAGCATGCTTGCCAAGTTTTGTATGAGAATGTATTTTTACAATGAGAGGAGCTGTTTTATTTTTAAAAGGGAAATGTGAACAGTGCATCAACAGAAGCTCACTGGGTTGTGGTGTTCTATCTATTCCTGAAGAAGCTGTCCAGGAGTAGGGGTACTAACTAACTAGCTGTAGTACTGATAACAAAGATAACCTACCTGGCCAGGATATCACTGGCAACCTTGGTCACCAACTGAGACACCTGCTTTAAATCTGATATGAATTTTTTTTAAAATTGTCAATGGACCTTTATTTTATTTATTTATATACAGTGCTGAGAATTGAACTCTGCTTCACACATGCTAGGCAAGTGCTCTACCACTGAGTTGCAACCCCAGCCCCTGATATGAATTTTTTTTTTATTTTCACCCCAACAGTCTTTTCAGAAAGCCTTATTTTATTCCAGATGTCATAGCCAGTCACCTGGCCCTAGAGTTTTTCTTGGCCTTGGGATGAATAGGTTGAGGTCCAGGCACAGATGTGCACGTACGTGTGCATTCGAAGGTGTAGTCTTACTACATGTGGATCTGGCTTATAGGAGCTAAATAAAAACAGGAGTGTTGAGGAGTGTGTGGAACAGGACCCAAAATGATGCCATGAATGACAGTTAATAACAGCAGTGTCTTAGGTCTTCGTGGCTACCAGAGGAGACACTGCAGATGTACGCTTTGCACTATAATCGGGAACAGGAAAGGGAAGCTGGTGCCCCTTTGCTGGGCACCTCCTAAAGACAGTTGGTTTAAGCACTCTGTTTTGTTGGACACACTGAATTCTTGGTTGAATATCTTAACTAGTTACCAAATGTCTTAACTAGTTATTCTGCTTCTGGTGTGACTTCACACCTGCAAGACAGAGGACAGACCAGTAATATTTTTTTGGAAATTCACACTCACAGAAAGTTACAGAAAGGTCTGGAATTCAAGTGTCTTGGTTCCTGAATTTTGATTCCCAACTCTTAAATATTTAAGTCTCTGCTGTTCTCATTTTCATTTAGGGTAAGACAAAGCATTGGGGACACATTTAACTATCAGATGAAGCAAAGACGGACTGAAATGACAGTGTAGCAGAAGGAGGAAAAATTTCATATTTTTAACATCTTCAGATGACATCTCAGGTCACAAAGCAAAGGGTAGTAGAGATATGTTTTAATAAGCCAAATGCCTGGCTGGGCATGGTGGCACAAGCCTGTAATCCCAGCTGCTCAGGAGGCAAAGGCAGGAGGATCACAAGTTTGAAGCTAGCCCCAGCAACTTAGGAAGACCCTGTCTCAAAATAAAAAAAAGGCTGGGGTTGTAGCTCAGTGACAGAGCACCCCTGGGTTAAATCCCCAGCACCACAAATAATAATATTAATAAGCTAGATGCTTAAAGGATGTGGAGTAGACATGTTCTGGATCAGGGCTCCCTCCCACCCCTCAGGGATCCTCTACACACTACAATGTGGCCCAGGTTTCAATTCTGCTACCTCCAGTGTATTAATACATGCTAATTTCCAGTGCCAGACTAGCACACCAAGGCCATCCTATAGTATTGCAGTTTGGAAATGCATTAGAAATATATTGTGAGGTGAGAAGAAAGTAAGATAACAGCAATAATAATGAGAAGCAGAGGGGCATTGTGTCTTTCAGCATTCTGGATGCAGCTAAAGTATTATAAACTGCTCTTGTGGAGGAAGTTAAAACAGTCGCGTGCAGCTGGGCACAGTGGTGCATGACTGTAGTTCCAGCAAGTCAGAAGACTGAGGCAGGAAGATCACAAGTTCAAGGCCACCCTCAGCAATTTATGAGGCTCTGTCTCAAAATTTAAAAGGCTGAGGATGTAGCTCAGTGGTAAAGGGCCCCTAGTTTCAGTTCCCAATACCAAAAATATTAATGATGATGATAATCAATCAGAAAATACTAACAAAAAAAGTGGAAGCAGCATGAGGAAACTGCTACCAGTAATGAATGTATTAGTTATCTTAATTATGGTAACAGTGTCACCGGTGCATAAATGTGCTGAAATGTATCAAACTGTATACTTTAAATATGTGTAGTTTATGAATTGTTCATACTTATACTTCAATCAAACTTTCTTTTTGAAAAAAAAAAATGCAGTGGGCAGTATAGAAAGCTAATTCAGGCTGGTTAGAGAAGACTTCCTGAGGTTATATTTGAGCTGAATACCAAGAAGGTACTGGCCAGGCTGGGGTTGTGGCTCAGCGGCAGAGCACTTGCCTCGCACATGGTGAGGCACTGGGTTGGATCCTCAGCACCACATAAAAATAAACAAAATAAAGATATTGTGTCCATGTATAACTAGAAAAATATTTTTAAAAAAGAAGGTGCCGGCCATGCCCAGCTCTGAGGGCAGAGCAGACTTGTGCTAGTGCAGGAAGCAAGGCCAGTGTGCCTGGAGCACAGTGAGCCAGGGAGAGCCTGGGGCCATGTGGGGCTTTGAAAGCCCCACATCAGTCAGTGCAGCAGGGAAGCCACCAGGCGAGCTTCTCTTCCATCTCTCTTTAGACCCAGAAGAGCCACTCAGCATTCCAGTCTATATCCTGAGGAAAGGGCTCCTCATTTTTCCTCCCTTTCAGAAAGCTGCTAGGAGCAAAGTGTAAAGAGAATGAGGGTGACAATGTGACTGGGCCAGTTCAGCTTGTATGTTCCTTATGTTCTCTTCCACTGCAGCTTTTCCTTCCCTCCATGAGAAAGAAGCCAGCTCTGGCTGACAGCAGCAACCCTGAAGGCGATCTCCTCCAGGAGCACTGGCTGGTGGATGACATGTTCATCTTTGAGAATGTGGGCTTCACCAAGGATGTGGGCAACATCAAGTTTCTGGTCTGCGCAGACTGTGAAATTGGACCCATTGGCTGGCATTGCCTCGATGACAAGAACAGTTTCTATGTGGCCTTGGAACGGGTTTCCCATGAGTAACTGAGGGGATGGGGACTCAGATCCACCCCAAGTATAAAAGCTCTCCCCACAAGAACTGGCGTTGGACCTTTGTAACTCCTGTGCTGCCTTCTCTGTACTAATACAAGCAGCGAGCACCAACACCTCCACTGGAGCACGCACAGGGCCAGGCCTCCTTCCTCCGCGCCCCCTGCATGCCTCGGGCCAGGTCCACATGCATAACGCGTCCTGATCCCCCTTTCCCCTCGTTTTAAGACACTGTCATACCTCCACAAATCTAGTCTCGTCCCTGGCGCTCTGCCGAGGCTCTCTTTTACCCAGGACTTGCTTTTGTTTTTTTCTTGCTCTAGAAGAGCAGTATTCAACTTTTTAGCCATGACATGACAAAAGATGCTCATGTGCTGATAGTTGAAACTCCATCTTTTTCTCTCATTCAGGAAAGCATACGGGGGCTGGGGACATAGCTTAGTAGGTAGAGGGCTTGCCTCGCATGCACAAGGCCAGTGGTTCAATCCCCAGCACCACACAAAAAAAGAAAGAAAGAAAGCATACGCGTGCTGGGCACAGATTACGACTGTAATCCCAACATCTCGGGAGGCTGAGGTAGGAGGATCAAGGGTTCAAAGCCAGCCTCAGCAATGGTGAGGCACTAAGCAACTCAGTGAGACCCTGACTCTAAATAAAATTCAAAATAGGGCTGGGCATGTGGCTCAGTGGTTGTGTGTCCTTGAGTTCAATCCCCAGTACCCCCTCCAAAAAAAAAAAAAGGCATACACATATCTGAGACATACTGCTTTGTGGCTAACCTTGTTATCTACATTAATTTATTATTTCTAAAAGTAAAACATTTACAGACTTCAGTATTTAAATCAATAATGAGAAACACATTACTTTGGGTACATCTCTAATATCATGTTTGAGAATCTTTGCTCTGGGTGGACACTGGTATTTTATTGCAAAGATGGATGTGGCCCCTCTTTCCTTCAAAAGTTAATGGGGTTTCTCCTTTTATTGGCTCCTCATACCTACATCCTGTACATTAGCCTCAGACTGTCTACCCCATCTGAGCCACCCAAGGGAAACAAGCTTGACAGTTAACCAGCCTCTCCTGGAGACTGGAGGATATGGGATATATGAGGGAAAGGCCTTTGCCTATCTCCTCTGGACAGGTAACTTTATTCCCTTGTTCTTAGGACAGACTTCTATAATAGATAGCATCATGATTTACCAGACATGCTCAGTGTGTTCCTCAGAGTTTTGATTCAAAAGAATCTCCCTACCAATCCAGAATACAGATTTTTCCCACCAATATGCCTCTTCTATTGCTATGGGGTTGCTGTGTTTGATACTAGCAAGCTTAAGTATTCACCATGATTTGCAAATATTCTGTCCTTTCTTTTCTGAAATGACTTACTTTCTTAAAGGGATCTGTATGACTAAATATTAGGTGTCCTCCGAGCGACCCCACCTCCAGAGGCCTAACATTGAAATTAGGACTAAGTCCCTTCCTTTGCATCTGTTGCTTCTTTCTCCCTTCATTCCAGAACTTTCTAAGGACTTCCCCACTAAAGTACAGGCCTTGAGCATAGTTTTGCAACTAACCTACTTGCTTAGAAAGGTGGCTTCCTTCCCCAGTCAGCTTGAATGAGCTCCAGTAGAAACAGAGAACTTTTCCTGACATATGGTCAAATGTCCATTATTATGAGATTTCATGAACAAATGAGAATTACCCACTCATGTCAGAGGAACAAAACCAAATAATTGCCCCTAGGGACATGGGGCCGTTCACATCACAAGTCAAAACCTAAGCTCAGCATTTTTTAAAATTAGCCTTTAACTTTTCTTTTTTTTAATTGCAAAAAAACAGTATATGTTTGTTAAAATAAAATTTTAAAATGGGTGTAATTTTTTTTCAGTTAATTCAGACTTCTACCATCCAGAGATTACCAATGATAATGCCAAGGATATACATATCCTTCTCATTGTTTTTATATGTATTTATTACATGTACAGTTTTTAAAAGAAATGTGAGTTCATACTGTACTCTTTTATAACTTGCTTTTTGTTGTTGTTTAATAATATAGAGTGAAGGGGTTGGGGATGTAGCTCCATGGTAGAGTACTTGGGTACAGTCCCCAGCACTGCAAAACAATAAAAGGGTGAATATCTTCCCTTGTCAGTAGCTACCCATCCATGTACACCATTATTATTATTATTATATTCTATTGTATCACTTCACTATAATTTATTTCTATAACCCACTATTAGGTTGCCTGCAGTTTTTTATAATTGATGATATAATTCTATATCCCACTTTTTTTTTTTTTTTTAAAGAAACTGTGGTATTGGGGCTGGGGATGTGGCTCAAGCGGTAGTGCGCTCGCCTGGCATGCATGCGGCCCGGGTTCGATCCTAAGCACCACATACGAACAAAGATGTTGTGCCCGCCGAAAACTAAAAAATAAATATTTTAAAAAAAAAGAAACTGTGGTATTTATTTATTTATTTATATTTATTTTTTAGTTTTTGGCGGACACAACATCTTTGTTTGTATGTGGTGCTGAGGATCGAACCCGGGCCGCACGCATGCCAGGCAAGCGTGCTACCGCTTGAGCCACATCCCCAGCCCCATATCCCACATTTTTTTAAATTTGTTTTTGGCAGTACTGGGGATTGAAACCAAGGCCTCACACCTGGTAGGCAAGGGCTCTACCATTGAGCTACATCTGACCTTTTATTATTTTAATTTGAGCTTGGTCTCGCTAGACTGTCCAAGCTGCCCTCACCTCCCAAATATCTGGGATTACAGGCGTGCACCACCACACTCAGTTTGGATCCACACTCATAATTATTTCCTTGGCATTATGAGAAGTGGAATTGCAGGGTGTGCACATTTCCAAGGCTTTGCTGTTTTGACACCTGTTCCTCAAAAAGCTGTGCTAATTTACCCTCTTCCGGCAGAATAAAAGAGCACTCACTTTCTGACCCTTACGAACACTGGGTATTTATTATCATTAAAAAAATGTTTTGCCACTTTGATAGAAAAAAATAGTATATTGTTTTTATTTGCATTTTACTTCTAATGAAAATTTTATACATTTATTTGTTACTTGTTTTTCCTGTTTTTAGAATTGCCAAACATTGTTGCACTAGTAACCAAAAATATTGAGTTGACTATTCTACCTTTTCAGTTTGATTTGAAAAAAATAAAAGAATTTAAACAGTGGAAATTAGAGTTCTGTCCATACTTGGGAAGAGGGCTGGGAATGTAGTTCAGTGGTAGAAAGTTGGCCAAGCAAATGTGAGGGCTTAGGTTCAATTTCCAGCACCTCACCCCCCTGCAAAAAAAAAAAAAAAAAAAAACCTATTTGGGAAGAATACGTAACTTGGAAAAGCAGAAGAGAGCTAAAATGTGAACTCTAGGGTTTAGCTTGAGTTCTCACAACCACCTAACTAATCAGTATCTGTTATATCATACGCAATAGATTCTCCATAAACACTTGTGAATCAGTTAACCCAGTGTTAACACAGGTCAGAAACTGAGTGCTCTTTTATACTGCTGGAGGAGCAGTGTACGCCCTGCAATTCCACTTCTCATAATGTTTGCCAAGAGTACCCAAGAGGTAACCCATGCTTATTGCCATGAGTATAGAAACCTGCAATTCAAGAGCAGGGTTGGAGCTCATTGATAGTGCTCCATGCTTAGCATGTCCAAGGCCCTGGGTTCCATCCCAACACCAAGACAGAAACCACACACAGTTCTTGTTGGTGGGAGTAATTGTGCAAGGGCCTAATTGTTTCTATAAAAATTATGTTTTTTAGTAGCCGGATTCAGTGGCACATACCTGTAATCCCAGTGGTTCAGGAGGCTGAGGCAGAAGGATCACGAGTTTAAAGCCAGCCTCAGCAAAAGCAAGGTTCTAAGCAACTCAGTGAGACCCTGTCTCTAAACAAAATACAAAATAGGGCTGGGGATATGGCTCAGTGGTCCAGTGCCCGAGTTCAATCCCCAATACAAAAGAAAAAAAAATTATGTTTTTTAAACACAAAAAAGGACAGTGGTGTACTAACATTTTGCATATTGTAAAAGACCATTCAAATAACTAACACAAAAATTATGAGGACTTAAGCTCCTGGTAATGGTAGATAGGTAATTTAGATTGACTATCCCGATGGGGGGTAACTAGATAGCCTGGAAAAATATTTTTAAAATTGCTTAAGGCCAAGCACAGTGGCTCATGCCTATAATCCTAAGAGGTAGGAAACCTGCAAGTTTGAGGTCATCATTAGCAATATAGCAAAACCCTGTCGCAAGATTTAAAAAAAAGCTGGGTGTATCTCAGAGGTAGAACATTTGCCTACATGCTCGAGGCCCTGGGTTCAGTCCTCAGTACTACAAAAAAGAAAAAAAATCTCTTCAACTCTTGATGCTAAGAATTGTGTCTATAAACACTTGGTGTGGTGCAGGATTTGACATGCCATCATAGGCTCTCTAACATAACTAGACTTCCTCACACCCCTGGTAATAGAATTGTTTAGCTTTATCTCAAGAAGCCTGGGAAAGCACATGTAACATGCCCAGATATACTTAGAGGGGTTGATCCCACAAGCTTTTAAGGGATTGTCTAAAACGAAAAAGCACCTGAGCAAATTCTATGGTGGTTCCATGTGTGCTGAATGCGTGACAGGCTCAGGCCTGGTTTCCCTGACTAGGAACAGAAAATTGTCAAGTGCCAAACGCACCAGCAGAGTCAAAAAGCTAAATAGTAAATAAAGTTTTTTTTTAGTAATTTGAAAAAAATCAAAAGACTGGAAACAATCTATTTGAAGACATCAGAGAGCAAACATGGTTTTGAAATACTATTAGACCAGGACCTTGAGGATATGGAGGCCTGGAAACTGGGCTTAAAGTTTTCAAACTTGGAGGCTGTTCAGAGGCTGATCTGTGTTTGGGGCAGGTGTTGGTATGGAACTCAGGTTCTCACACGTGCTCTACCACTGAACTACATCCCAACCCCAAGATCAGTGTGTTTTGACAGTTTTCCAAAAGTATGGACAGGACTTGTTAAAGTCCTGGACAGTCCCTTGCTTTCAGTGGAGACCATCAGCCTTTGCAACTCAGAAAAAATAGGTGAATGGAAAGAGGGAAATAGACTCCCATAAGGGATTGCTGCTCAACTTCCAGTCATATCAACCTTGAAAGAAGATTAAGGTGCTCCCAGAGTGTCAGTTTCCCCAAACCCATGGCATAAGCAAATAAAAATTCTCTCTGGAGGAAAATATAATTCTAAATCTCAAATTATTTCTACAAGCAAATTTTACTAATGCAATAATCCTGAATATAACAAAATGTAACTAGGCATATGAGACAAGATAGTAAGAAAACTAGAAAAACAACGGACAGTGCAGAGGCCCATCATGCCTGCAGATACCGGAGCTTCAAATGTAGACTTTAAAATAACTGCTGAATATGTTCAAGGAGATATACAAGTTTAAGTATTTCAGCAGATACCTATATATCTTTAAAAAAAAAAAAGGAGGAGGAGGAGGGGGGAGCTAGGGATATAGCTTGGTGGTAGAGGAGGAGGAGGAGGAGGGGGGAGCTAGGGATATAGCTTGGTGGTAGAGGAGGAGGAGGAGGAGTGAGCTAGGGATATAGCTTGGTGGTAGAGGAGGAGGAGGAGGAAGAGAGCTAGAGATATAGCTTGGTGGAGGAGAAGGAGGAGGAGAAGGAGGGAGCTAGGGATATAGCTTGGTGGTAGAGTAGTTGTCTGACTGGCATGAGACCCTGGGTTCAATCCCCAGTACCACAAGAAAAAAAAAAAAAAAGTACATTATAGAACTTTCTCAAAACCCAATAACCCCTATAGTCCCAGCTACTTGAGAGGCTGAGGCAAGGGGATTGCTTGAGACCAGGAGTTTGAAGTCAGCCTGGGCAAAATAGCAAGACCCTATTCCCAAAAAAATAAAAATATAAACTTTCTGGGTGCAGTGACACACACCAGTAACCCCAGCAACTCAGGAGGCTGAGGCAGGAAGATCAAGTGCAAAGCCAGCCTCAGCAACTTAGCGAGATTCTAAGCAACTTAGAAAGGACTGGGGACAGTGCTCAGTGGCTAAGCACCCCTGATTTCAATCCCTGGTACCAAAAAAATACATAAAAATAAAAATTCAATAATCAAATTAAGAATTAAGTGGAAGCTTTTAACAGTTGATTGGGCACTGCTGAAAAGAGAACTAGAAAACAGACCTATGCATACTAACAGACATGTAAGTCTGCGACACAAAACCTTTTATATCATTACTGAGAGAAATTAAAACAAGTTCATGGAGCCAGAAAACAAGAGCCTACAGCCAGATCTATTCAGCCTACATGTGATTTATAAAGACTGAGGGGCTTGTGTGCTGAGAATTGTTTCTACATTTCTTTTTCCCTGCAGTGAGAATTGTTTGTACATTTCTTTTTCCCTTTTTCCCAGGGTCTTGCACATGCTAATCAAGTGTTCTATCTCTGAGCTACATCCCAAAATATATTTGTTTATATTTTTAAATAGTTAAGAAGTACCTACATTATATTGTCAAATTTGTCTCTTGGCCCTCAAAACCTGATGTTATCCAGTTCTTGAAGAAAACAGTTTCTTGACCCAGAAATTCCAAACCTTGCACAGTTGGGTCTGGATGCTGTTCCGCAGGCTCTGGATGGGATTCTTTGTCCATAAAGAGACTGGCATCATTTACAAATGTGGCTGTGAACTTCACAGGGGAAGAGTGTCAGGACTTGAGTGATGCCCAGAGAACCCTGTACAAGGATGTGATGCTGGAGACCTAAAGTGGCATGGAGTCCTTGGGGCACTGCATTACCAAACCTGAAGTTCTCTTGAAGTTGGAGCAAGGAACAGAGTGCCATGACGGTAGAAGAACCTCCAAACCCTAGCATCCCAGATGTCCACACAGCTGATGACTTAATTGAGAGATTAAAAAAAAAAAAATCACAGAAGACATTTGTGGTGAGTTAGAATTACCACCAGCAACACAGAGGAGAGAGGTGAATTAGGAAAAACAGCATCACAAGATTCAAACTGGACGGGCTGGGGATGTGGCTCAAGTGGTAGCGCGCTCGCCTGGCATGCGTGCGGCCCGGGTTCGATCCTCAGCACCACATACAAACAAAGATGTTGTGTCTGCCGATAACTAAAAAATAAATATTAAAAAAAAAATTCTCTCAAAAAAAAAGATTCAAACTGGACTGAAACCTGTTGAAAGAAAAGGGATAGCCCTCCACATGGAGGCAGAATTATTAACACATAAGAACATGCATAAGGGGAGACCTATCAATATACTGAATCTGGGAAAGCTTGTGATAGAGGGAAGAAAACTTTCTGTAAAAAAATCTAACCCCACAAAACATCAGCAAATACACAAAGGGAAGAAACCCGATGAAGGCATCAAATGTGAGGGGAAAGATTCATTAGCAAATCAGAACTCAGAATACAGAGAATTCACACAGGAGGGAAAAAAAGAAAAAAACTATGAATATCACCAATATGAGAAAGTCATGGAGGCCTTATTGCCTGTCAGAATTCACACAGGGGAAAGCCCAGGAAAACCTTCTGTCACAAGGCTTCTTTCTGTACAGCAGAGAATTCACATAGGAGAGAAGCCCTAAGAATGTAACAGGGACTAGGGGTATAGCTCAGTTGGTAGAGTGCTTGCCTTGAATGCACAAGTCCCTGGGTTTGATCCCCAGCACCAAAAAAAAAAAAAAAAAGAAAAAGAAAAGAAAAAAGAATGTAACAAATGTGGGGAGACTCTGACCCAGGAGCCTAACCTCAGGCACAGCAGAATACTGCCACTGGGGAAAGCCCTGGAGATGTAATGGGTGTGGAAAAGCATTCTCAGTGACAGCCACCCTCATTTCACATCGCAGATTTACACACAGAAAACTCATGAATGTAATGAATGTGGAAAATTCTTTCACCAGGAGTCACATCTCAGCTGACATCAGAGAACTCACGGGACAGAAACCTTAAGATTGTAACAAATGTGGAAAAATCTTTGGTATGAAATCACACCCCAGAAAACATCAGAGAAACAGTCTAAGGGGAAGGCCTGAATGGTAGAAGCTATATGTGCACTAAAATTCATTCTCTTTTCTCTGGAACACATACTTACCCTCCATTTCTCAGCCTCTCTTTATGAGTGGCACAAAGTAACAGCCCTGTCAAGGTAA